GCCGATTACGTAAGTCGGTGCGGTGTTTTATTTAAATTATATATATATATATATATATTTAAATAAATTTGATGGGATCGAAAATATATATATATATATTTTCGATCCCATCAAACCTTAACTAGCGTTCTATCACTATTCGTTTTAAATTATTACCGAAGTATTTTGCGTTTACGAATATCAATAACAATAAACTTTTAAAAATGGTAATTGGCTGTTCTAAAATGTTTGCAATGCATTTGGCATATAGCCAAATGTTAGAATAATATTAGGCAGTATTTAAACTAAAACATTGATAAAAAGTAATGGCTGTACTAAATTTATTTTATGGTAAATATAACCAGTCGATATTTTAGTCACCAATAATTTACTATATTCGAATACAGTATATTAGCAACGCCTTTTGTAATATTAAATACACAGACATTTAAAAAAACGAATCTGTCCGAACCATCACCGAAGAATCAAATTCCAGATTAGGCTGATCCTTTACTTCGTGATCATTATAATATAGTATTTTATGTATCAATTAGTAAAAAAAGTCAATTTATAATATTTATGGTTCTATTGGTATTAAATTATTGTATTCTCATCTAAATTTATCAAAATTATCGGATTGTTCTTAGACACGCCGGTTAACAGACTGTACACAGAGTTTAATACTTTTTTGCACTACCGGGTTTTGAACCAGAGGTCCTGGTCTCACGTACAAAATCAGGTGTTTAGATTAGACCAACAGGACTTGCGTTTGTTTCTATTGAAATTATAAGTGCCTTTAAATGAGTCGTTAAAATATTCGAATTATAAGCAATAGGTCAAAGTCGTAATAACGAAGTAATAATCTTGTCTTTAAATATTTGACATTTTAATGACTGTAACTATCATGATATTATTAAAAACCCACTATTATACAATTAAACTAACTTAGAGCGATTAAGAAATCAATGTTTTAGATACGTTAGAAAATTAATTATTCTTAAGTAAATTTCATGGAAATGTAATAAAAAGTGAAATCTTGTTTCGCCAATGGGGCGTGGGGCGAACACATTTCTGTATTACAGGCAAGTAGTTGATCAGATTTTTGTCTGCCTGGATACAAACTCAGGACCTCATGCGCTTAAGGCAATGCAAGGCATTTAGAGACAAAATACAAAGACAGTTATAGTGGTAGCTTATTTCACAACTATTTTTTTTATATTGGTGCATTTTTTGTGTGTTCCTTCTGCTCTCTTAAAAAAAAACAAAAGTAAGTCTAATGACCAAGTATATAGGGTACTACATTAACTATTATGTATATAGATACTAGTTTCAAGGTTAGTTTAAAAAAAGTATGCTTAATTCTTTGAAAACAGCTTCCGAATCTGAATATTCAATCAATAATACAGTCAACGGATTTCGGTATCAGTGGCCCCAAATTTTAAACATTTGATTTTTAAATTTAAGACGGTTAGGCGCGGTTCTAGCAACGGTCCCTCGCGTCGGTTATGTAACGACCTCAAGCCGCGACCCAGAGCCGCGGCCATGCAAAACAATCTTACTATTTCACTATTACAACACAAAATGCCAGATTTACAGCACATCTGTAATTGTAATAAAGATTTTAAAGCACATTTTCTTATGAAAAGCCTACATGTAATTGGTTATTGATTAAAACACATTCGTTAACGAACTATATTATTTATATTTACACGTTTCAAACCGTTAAACCTCGTTTCATTCAATGCGTAAGCTTAGTGTTGATTTCGCTGCTAAGCTTGAACGGTAGATATCGTTCGCGATTGAAAGACTGATAAGAACGAGAATCTAGATGTAGAGCGTATCATTCGTTCCATGATTTTTTTTAATGTAAGAAACCTATCAGAGTGAGAGATTTGAAAAAGGAACGACTTATGACCGATGTCGTGCGTGTCAAACGAAACAGGTCATTGGTTTTGTAAATCTGAATTGATTCGATTCTTTGCGAATGAATGAACGATACATTGTATATATCACACATCACTACCAGTAATTCATATAGTGATGTAATATACTATGTGGATAAATAGAATCGTGTTCCTACCGAAATGGAGATCACGTTAACCGACAGTACTTGTAAGGGTTTATTTGTGTAATAATTAGAACTGAGATAAAGTGCACTTAACTTCCGCGTTTCGAAATTTCACGATTTAAGCCAATTACCCATTTAAGTTTGGTCCGGCAAGTATTGAACGATATATGCACGATTCTGATTTTTTGAAACGACAGACAAACATTTTCTTTCACACGGTGGAAGGTGAAATTGTCCAGTTAAATGTAACACTAAACAGAATGCGCTGACGGACTATTGTGGTTTTGGACATTCGGAAATCCACAGACCGATATGCGATTAAATCGTTATGCCCCATTTAATAACCAGACGAATATGTTTGAGTATGCACTCATATTTTTTTTGTCTGTGTAGTATTTAGATGACCTAGCAAACGTGTTTTTGCTATACAAAGTATTCCTACGAAATTTGATTTCCATAAAAACTGATACATCTTGATAGACATTGATGTACATCTTTTAAGATAACAAGAAGCGTTTTTCGTAATTCGAACACATTTTAGATCATTTAAAGAAGAAAATATTTTCCATACATAGTTTTTTGGTTTCTTGAACCGCTTTCGCAGCGTACGCAACGGAAACCCTTAAAATAGAATATTTTTCCCCGTTTTTCACATTTCCCACTGTTTCTTTGCTCCTATTGGTTGCAAACTGATGTTTTATAGCCTAAAGCCCTTCTCGATAAATGATCTATTCAACATAAAAAAAAATTAATTCGAACAAGTAGTTCCTGAGATAATCGCCAGCAAACAACCAAATAAACTCCTCAGCGTTATAATATTTGTATAATATATTATTTCCCACAATACTGAAGTTCAAGCGAGTATTTCAATACAAATTCAAGTTGTGTAATTAATTCATCACCATTCAAAGATGTATCGTTAAAGATCTTACGCATTAAGTTGAAGCCGATTACAAAACAAATCTAACCAGTTTACTAACATTAGCGCGGCGCACAGTTAATTCTGTTTACTGGAGCTGTTGAAATCTCGCGGCATTCACAATCCACGAAGTGATTACCTATCCATTTAAAAATAATTGCTGTCTTAATATGGCTTATTATATCGTCAGCAGCAATGTATGATTGCTCTATATTGAGTTCTAGCTGTTACCCAATTAATCTCAAAAGAAAGAGACCTACTGCCACGGACTTTTTTTTAATTGTTCCATCATACATACATATATTTTGGTTTCTTTTTTTGACGGCAACCCTCAAGATGTACATTTCTCTCTACTCTTCGCGCCTATTGGTCGCAGCGCCATGTTTTATAGCCTAAAACCTTTCCCGATAAATGGTCTATCCAACACAAAAATATGTTTTTCTGTGGTTCCAGCGCGTTCGAACAACCAAACAAACTCTAGCCCATAATATTCGACTAGAGTTACCTTATAATGTTTTATGGTGTAATTCTTTAGCATTCCTTTAAAAGTAAATAAATTAAGTTTTAGTGTGACAAATATCACCGGTCTTAGGTTTGATTTGTTTTTAATTCATATTATGGTTGTTCGTTACGTCTAGAAAAATAGGAAATTATATGTGTAGACGTAAGTTTGGATATGTTTTTTGCATCTACAACATGTCACTTTTCATCAAAAACGGAATGCATCTTGCTCTGTCATATAAGAAAATGCGGTGCTAATATGCGTTTAATTTAAAGTCATCATGAGGGTAGACGCTCTACAAATACATCGTTAGTATTATCTCATAATTATGCAATCCTTTAACATTTCTTATCTGTAATAAAAGACAATATAAAGACTATAATGATCTTTTTAATAGGTGTGCACTCTGATCGATGCATACTTCCCACCGCTGGGACAAACACCTTGCTTACAATATAGACCTTACACGCTGAAATTATCTCAAATTTTGTATTATCTTGTTGCTATTGCAATAAACACTGCAAACAAAACAAAATAAACATTTAAAGTTCAAACGGTTTAAAACGTGGTCACCTAATCAAAGTTGCTGCAAAGCGTTCTAAACGTCGGCCGTAGTTAAAATGAATTATAAATAAGTATGCCCGTTTCATTTTTTTTTAATCTTAAATCGATTTTTAATTTATATAGTGTTGTACTCTTTATACGCGTATCCCACTCACACTTGGCCGATTTTTAAATTATATTTAAGGACGAAAGCAGGAAGCAGTGATCGAAATCAGAGTGGTTTCCTGTTTTTCTGTTAATTAAGTTTAGTAATTAACAGTGTGAACGGATGAGTAAGAAAGAGTTACGCATAGGAAGTGATTCATATTCTTGGTTTTACTATAAGCGTGTGAGATTGTATGAATGATCATTATGCTATAGAACCAGTTTCTACGGTTTCTCTCGTTATTTTATGATACGAATCGAAAGTACTCCATTATACTTAGTATCTTAAACTACAACTTGTCTAAACATTATTAACGTATTGGCCGAATTTAGACACTTTAACGGTTTAAAACGCGATATTTACGTACGACGGTTGAATTCTTTACAGCAACTACTCACGTTGTTAGTGAACTAATATATGGCGCGTTTTTAACCGTCAAAAGAGTTTGACTTAACTGTACTACTTGTAACTTACATAATACCTCGACCGAATTCTTGTCGTGTGCGAATTTTATCCAAATTAAGGCGTCTAGACATGTTAGAGTCCAAATATCCACGCATTTAATTATTAACTATTCGCATTTACAATCTTACCCTAGCTGACTTGGCACACTTTGTTTTGCCATACAAATTATTTCTAGTGAACTTTATGTGTAAGAATCTGGTTTTTGAGTGTCAGAGGCAAATAAATAAAAGAAATATAAAATAATTGGGGCGTGTATTATTAATTCATAAAAAAATCTGTCCAAAATATGGGTATGACCATGCATTTAAAATTTCAAACATGAGAATTTTATATTATAAGATTATATACTAACTAGAAAATGTTCGTGAAAACTCATTATAAACGTGATATTATCTTCACAGATAGGTATTGATAATGTGAATCATTAACCGTCGTTCTATAAAAACAGAAAAACCAGGAGCGAGGAACCAGTTATTTGCGCTTGTATGTACACATAATTACAGTCGTCATTAAAGTAAACAGTAAATGATGTTTCGATTCATTAATGAAATAAAGAGCACTCACGGTAAAAACGATGTTATTTAGCACATCATGATAGGTAGACGTAGGTTTTTAATTAATGCACTTGAATTTCAAGGTTACATTAGATTCAAAGTAATCTAAAACCCACGCGTACGTCGGAATCTTCCCTCATTTGCATAAAAATATAACGTTAGGCGACATGTTAAATTTGTAATGTTGTTTTTAATTTGATTTAATTATTCGTCTCAGTCTCCCCGTGACCACGGCTGCTGCAAAGGACCCGAAACGTCGGGCCAAAGTTAAAAATCATTTTCAAATAACTAACTAATATATAGCGTTTTAAACCATTAAAGTGTTTTATTTAAATGTGTACTACTCGCGTAAGTAATTAATTTAAAAACTATAGACAGTGTTTAAATTAATTACTTAGTTAATCTGTTACTTAGGTGGGTTAGTTACAATTTGACTCATGTGGTAAATTGGTATATTATATATAATCACTAGAATTTAAAATATAGTGAGGGCGAGCTTTGAATCACCATTCACACGAATTTTTAATTATACTTAATTATAGACAAAATTAATTAAATATCCAATATTCAATTTTATTTTACCATCTGTTAAAACATGATGGGTGCCTCTGCTTGTTTGATTAATAGATTCTACGTTCTCAGAGCAGTTAGTAAAGAATGTTTTATTTGTTGCAGGTCTTTTAGCGGCAGTAGCAGCAAAGAGAGTGTCGCTAATGCGTCCTCTTCCAACGAAGATGGTGGCGACACCATGAACCGAGAGAACGTGACAAACAAGATCGCTGCAGGCATGGACCGGTGGCAGAACACGATAGAAGATATGATTCATTTACGCTCTTCCAATAACCATGCCTTCAAAGACAACTATTGGGTAAGTTTACGTGCCTCCTCGTGCCTGACCGAGGGTTATGTTTTCGCTGAAGCCGAAACCATAGTTTCAAAGATCTTCATAGTGATTTAGGCTCTATGGTCGATTGTCTAGCATTGCATTACATAGAAAAACATGCAGTAGGGTCCTTGGTCCTGACTGACAATGACTCCTAGGTACAATTACCACTGCGGCCAAGAATTTTAGCGTTGTTCGAAACATGTTCTGAAAAAGTGGGTGGTAAAAAGTAATGAAGTTCCTGAGAACACATCCACAAGAAAAGTAGTGGAATTGGAATACCAGACAGACATACAGCGCGTTTTAATAAAATGTTGTAGGGCTAGTCAAGTTCTCATTCCATCAGGTATCATGCAAAACGATAGTTCCGGTCGAGCAGACTGTAGAAGTCTGATCAATTTGGTTGTTTATTTTACAATTGATCAATAGACCAAACCCAGGGTTTCACTTATCATGTAAATAGTGATTAAGGAACAAATTAAATGAGCGTAGACGGCTATATGCAACGCAATACGTAAGAACAAAAGAAAGTCGAATATAACATCGCCGTAAGACTTTACATCACTTTGATAATCTGACGTAATAAGAGAAACAATTATAATGATTGTTCTCTTGAATATAAGAAACTAGACGGTGAAAGCGTTTTGTATAACGTTTCATAGTATTAATAGCCCACTGTTGGGCATAGATGTCTTGTCGCATCGGTAATGTTTTTTGACCTAAGTGCGGTTTGGTGGATTTAATCGGGAGAACTGACTGTTTAACGTCCTCGTAAAGCTTTGATTGGTAATTTAGCAATTTTTTAGGAAAATGTTACATGCTTAAGTAAATTTTCTGCCAGGGCTTAGAAATAGGGTTGCCAGAAGTTAAAAATATCTAGATTTTTTTAAGTCGGGGTTTTGGTTTTGTCAAAAATTTCCTTTTTTTTTATGTAGATAAGATTTGTCAGGAGTTTGAAGATCACTCTCTCTGATCATCTGGTAACCCAAATTCCAATTTTTGTGACCTACAGGGGTGTATACCAGTAGACGAACGAATCAGTTGTGATAAGCGAACAATAATGATAGATAATTCTCTCTACTTAGCCCTAGCCTGCTTTTGATTTGAAATTATTTTGATTATATCTCAGACTTTCACCGCAAGTAATGGTCTTGACAATATAGATACCGGTTGATACTTTATAACAATAGCATTGTTTGTAATATCATATATCTTTAGAATTATTTATTTATTTGTATCTTATGTCTTGGCTGAGCTAACTCAGTAACATAAAACGTACTGTGTTCAGTCAACTATAAACGTCAACGTTTTACTCAACAGTATAATTTCATAGTGCCAAATGCGCCTGTAGCTCATTTATTAGACGCATAAATTATCTGCGTCTAATAAATGTTTGAATACCGTAAAGTAAGAAAAAGTTTCGAGTAGGGCACGAAATACAAATCTTAACCTATACATTAAATCGGTCAGTGAAACTGACAATGTGTTCGCTCCATGTCCCACGTAGGGGCAGCGGGATTTCACTCGTAGTTTAAAATACATAGTCAAGATATTGTGACAATTACCGTTTATAAATAAAAACGTTTAAATACATACCATAGATTTTTGCAAATTAACAATATCACCGCGTGTTTTGTCGGTGTATAGAGCGGGCCATTTATTATTTATTTAGTTGAATAAAAGCATTGTATGAATTCGGGTGAGTAGTAAACATTTAAAACAACACTTTTAACGGTTAGTAGCAAAGCATCCGAAATGACTGATTAACTTCGTAATATATTTCGCGTTTTAAACGGTTAAGTGTTTTATTTAAATTCAATAAAAAATATTTTCAGGCTAAATTTATATTCACAGATTATAGTTAAAAATGTTAGATTATTATACCGTTAAAATGTTTTATCTATTATCTATATTCATCGTTAGACTTTTTCCGTTATTAAAAAGGGAATAGAAATCTACGACGGTTGTAAAGAAATCGTCTTAGGTACTAAGTAAACAGTCGACGCTCTTACTTGAAATCTGATCTGTCTAGAAAAAGAAATCTCGTTCCGACTGCATGCACTTGTTGTTCAGATCAGCTTCATTTTGCTCCATTAAAAACGTGCTTTACTTGTACTGTTATGAAACTACTTACAAAGTAGGGGCAGAACGTCTTTTTGCGGTGGTTTAGACATTTACAGTAAAACGGTTCATTATTTAACCGGACTGTATAATACCTCCATTATACATTTTAATAAAATAATTTTAACGGTTTGAAGCGAGAAATATATTAGTTAACTTATACTTTAATTTAACTGCGGCCCGAAGTTCGGATGACTTTTTAAGTAATATTTTAGGTGTTTTATTTAAAAAGGTACCTCCGTTTTCACATCAAGTATAAATATAAACTGCCAACCGACGAACTTATTACACCTTTAACGCAAAAAATATACACATTTTGTATGATATTCACTTCATATTTTATAGATAATAGCTTTGCCAGCGACTTCGTCTGCGGAGAATAGTTCATTTTAGGATAAAAATATTTTTCTCCCCCATTCTCATAGGCAGATTGTGTCGCGAAAAAAAATTCATTCAAGAGGAATCATTTTTGGTATCTTGAACTATTTTCGCAACTCATGCAATGGCAGCCTTCAAAGGAATATTAAAATAACGATAATAATTTTCCCCGCTCTCCTCACAATTTCTTTTTTGCTTCTATTGGTAGAAGCGTAATGTTTTATAGCCTTCTTCGATAAATGCTGTAAACAACAAAAACATATTTTTTCAATTCGACCCGGTAGTTCCCGAGATTATAGCGTTCAAACAAACAAATTCTTCAGTTTTATAATATTAAAAACGAGATAAAGTTAACAATTTAGCATTATCGATGTCCTAAATTACGTAACGTTTATATAAAATTCTTTGTTTGAGTAAGCCACCGGTAAAATTTGTAACTGTTAGTGAGTTAGTAGTCATGTAGTGTCTTAGTGAGAGTAGCAAACATCTGATGGTTTCCTTAAGTTAATACGTATTGGCAATAATTCTTCACTTATTACCAAAAATGTGCGAGTTCGTAATGTCTCTTAACGTTTAACGACGATATTACGACATTACGAGCTATTTCCTATCTAAGTAGAAAATGTTAAATGTTACGTAACGGCACCAGACACGTAGCTAATATTTCAAACGTCTCTTCGATTTTATTAAAAGAAATTGAAAGTGCGAAACGTAAAATCATATAACAGACACATTTAAGAAGTTGATTAAACGTTTTCAAATGAAACTATGTATGTATCCCCCGGGATTCGAATCTAGGATTTCTCGATGAACGCTTTAGTAGGAGGTAAGAATCGATAAAGGGTTTTGTATCTATTTGAGTCTATAGCGAAGATGTAACATTGAAATGCATTTTAAATAAAACACTTTAACGGTTTAAAACGCGATATATTAGTTAAACTTATTTGAGAATGATGATGACAGTCTCCCCGTGACCACGGCTGCTGCAAAGCATCCGAAACGTCGGGCCGAAGTTAAAAATAATTTTCAAATAAGTTTAACTAATATATCGCGTTTTAAACCGTTAGTGTTTTATTAAAAAAAATATATATATTTTTATTTTATTTTTTAGCACATTAATCCTAGAAGTAGTAGGTCCTAAGCTTAGCGCGTTCAAACAATTATTTAAACTACTGCTATACTTAGACACATAAAACATATACCTATCACTAAGGTGGTTCTTGTGGGTTCCTTATTCAGACTGATAACAAGTATTTAAATTTACGCATGCTGCTTTAAAGCCATCCTTAATAACATATTCTTTCCAGCATGACACAATAAACTTATTTATAGCACTTTCCACACGCTCCTACGATTATCTGTTAGGGCAATGCCTATATCAGGCTACAAGAGGGACAATAGACTGGATAAGATTTTCATACGCATTAGTATATTTCTATCTGTCATTCGTTGAGGGGATTACGTTTGAACTAATTTGAAGTCATAGACTGTTTGTCTCCGTGGCTTAATGGTTATGGAATTCCTAAAAATCAATTTTGAAAACTTCTAATAAATATTTTTCACATGTTATTGCGCATGATGGCACTATATAAATTAATAAAAAATCAACTCAAACGACTCGGACAGGACTTAAACCGGCATATTAAGCGTTTCGTTCTCTTGCCCTACCAATTAAGTCGTCATTCTTTTTTAATTTAAGAGGATTCATTTGTAAATTAAAAGAGCAGTGAAAGGGATATATGGGGTATCTCCCATTGTATGGGAGACGCGATGTATCATTTTAACAGACAAACCATTTTGATAGCATAGCGAACTAAGCGCGCTTAAAATGTCTGTCACTGTATTTCCAAGCAGTTCTATGGTGTGAAGAAAGTCGTTGAACGCTATTATATATACACAACATATAGCTATACGTATGATTTTAAATCCATTCATGTATACCGTTGTAGCGCGTGACCGGCAGATAAAGAAATTGTATTGTGACTTGAATAATTAATTCTTGCTTGGAGAAATGTCATTCAACGTTTTGAATTCTAGATATCAATTGATTCTGATTAACTTTGGCTATTGTTCTATAGAAAAAAAACTTTGTTTTTGGTAGGGGAGGGGGAACTTATGTTATTGTTATTTCCTATTAATTTTGAATTGTTTTTTTTTGTTGTCTCTTTAATATTATATAAGAATATACTTGCACTATCTTATATCAGTTATACTTTCTTTTATTTTACATTGTTCTTTCAAATTTACCTATTCTTGATACCGCTTACACCCCAACGGCTTAACTAGTTTGATAGTCGATATTTGTTTTTGCTAATAAATATAAAATAAGGTCAATTTTAATTGCGTTTCGGTTTCCAGCCTGATATTTCCGAATATCCAAAGTCAAAATAGGTCCATAGCGCATCTTATTTAGATGTTATATGGCTCGTGTATTTCACATATCACGCATGCTTTGCAGCAGCCGTGGTCACGGCTGCTGCACATCCGAAACGTCGGGCCGAAGTTAAAAATAATTTTCAAAAGTTTAACTAATATATCGCGTTTTAAACCGTTAAAGGTTCTATTTAAATTTATACTACTCGCGTAGCTAAGAAAGTATTTAATCTAAATGATGTTTATAAATTGCATAAGACTTCTCGCAAATAATACCTTAGCGACTTTTCTTCTTACAATTGCGAAAATTGTTTCTCAACGACGAACCGATAAGCGATAAGCCATAAAATTAAACTAGGTTAGTGACTACTTAACTCTCCGTTCTGTATAAATTACGTTTTAATAATGTTAATGAAAAGAAATCGATAAAAACACAAGACAAAAGGAGATCAAGTAGAATCATTATTATTCAACGCGGTATTATATGCACGCGATTGTACGTAGTCGTGGAACTAATGGCTCAACAATTATTTTTGTTTAATATCTCTCGATATTGAGTATCTCCACTTAAGTTATATTAAGGTTATATTAAATAAGTGGTAGGAATATCCGTCCGGGTAAACCGTGACACATAAAAAGCTGTCAAGTTTAATTGCGTTTCGGTTTGCGCCTGAGGATTTCCGAATATCCAAAGTCAAAATAGGTCGACAGCCGACTTCTTTTTTAGGTTGTTATTCTTTATGTTGTTGTTTTTCACCTAACATCAAGTGAACAAACACATTATCACAAATTATTTCCAGAATATGAAGTGTTAAGTTTAATTTTTGTTAAAATACCAAATTCAGTTCAGTAATCTGACTCAAAGGCCATCTCCGTAGCTCAATCGTTAAAGGTATTGCCTAGAATTGCGTTAACGAGAAGTTCTAGGTTTGAATCTCAGGGAAACGATAAAGGGTATAGCACAGTAGTCTCAGATACTACTTGTCTGTAAATAAAAAACGATCAATGAAACGGACATAGAATTACCATAGTTGATTTAATATTAAATTTTAGAAGTTTGTGAAAATTAGTATTAAATTGCTTTACCAATCTTGTTTTTTATGTTTATAACTTTTTTGTTCCGGTTTTTATGGTTGAGGTTTTTTGTTCGTAACTCCAAGACGACCGCGCGACATCCGTCAATAAATTTCCATGTGATTTCTACTTTAAAAAATCATTATTATATAAAAATGAATTATCAAGTTTAGCAGCCTACGTGAGAGTGTATAAATGTTTACCAACCATGTTTATTGTAGTCTACAACACATATAAATAGTACATTTTGCCAAGAATATAATATGTACCTACGATTTAAAAATAATATTAATTTATATTGTTTTAGGCACAAAATGGGTTTGACGAATTACGACGCTACGTAAAGCAAGGGAGCGACTTCAGTAAAGAACTAGCTGCCATTTTACAGGAAAGGTAAGATAGCCTAGTTTAACAGACACAGAAATATGTCGAAATGAAATGGTTTGTAACGTAACATTTAGTCTTTGTAGCACAGAGTCTAACTATAATCATGAACAAAGCAAAAGCGATAATACTACTAAAATTACATACATATGAGGCTGCTAGAGGCAGAGTGGCCTAAAAAAACAGGATTTTCAATAAGGAGGAAAATCAAAAATGCGTAATTAACTTAGGCGAAAATGAATTTAACTTTAATTTGCATAAAAATTATGGTCATAGTTTTCGGTCACTGTGCTCTTGTAGATTAAGATTTATAGTCTGAAAATATAAATAAGTCATAAAATTTACAGTTAGGCCACTCTGCTATATGCTTTATATAAATAATTCAATTTAAACAATCTATCAACAAACAGATAGGGTATTTAGCGATATCACCATTTTCTAAAATTTATAAATATCGCGACATTTAACTTGATATCCAGCATAACGAGTATTTCGGATTAGCGACCGACTTTTCAATTGAAAAACAATAAATGCAGTACACATTAAATGAATAAGCATAAAGACCTTGGTAAAAGGCCGTTCAGACAAGTTGTAGCTTTAAGTTTAAACATCTGGTTCCTTAAATCAACTTCGTTAATTATTATCCTAATTCGTAGTGGAGTAGCCATAAATGTTATTTAATATATGTTTCCCTAGCTGATCCGACAAACGTTTTGTTATTAGCAAGATTAATATTGTTATGTTGATACAACTCTGACAATTGACAAATTATTGGTATTAAGACATTAATACCGACCATATTTGATCACCATAAGAATGGTTTTGCGAGTTAATCTTTAAAGATAGCTATTTGACTGTTGCGGACATTTTTAGATCATTTAAAGAGTAATCCTTCTTACATAATTTATAATTCCACTGTTCTGTGCTCCTTATCCACTAATATTCAAAACACATTCTCTAACTTTTATTTCTAGATTATAATTTATAATAATAATTAAATGCAGATATAAACAAACTTTGCGGCTTTTAATGACGCCATTTCAAGTTTCAAAAATATCGTCAATTACTTAGATCCACAGATTATAAAACAACAAATTTAAGTACTACGACGTAGATAATACAATCTTATCGAGAACTATTTTCGCTTTCTAGACGTGACCATCTAACAATGCTGTATTGTTTACAAGCAAATACTCTGACGAGTTTTATTAGGCTGCGTTCACATATAAACATTACAAACTATTAGATACAAAATTAGAACCGTTTTAAACTGCACTACAAAGTATAATAAAAATAAGAATAACCAGGACATCTTTTGTATTAATCGTAATACAGTTATGAAATTTTGTGTTTCCATACCGTATGAGTAACACTATTTTTTCTGTCGAACCGAGCGCATGACATAAAACTTATACAGTGGAAATATTTACTGACTAATTACGTCACTATATGCCAGTACACAATATGTACAGTCGTACAATAAAGTTAATAAAGTCGCAAAAAAAAAATTGTATTTTTATTATGGTTTTCAAACCTTTCTTGTCAAATTTTCACATCTGTTGCTGAATACTGTCTTGCAAGGTAATTGCATCACTGGCCAACAGAATCTAACAGTGAAAAATATCTTATGCGTTTCGCTGTAAGCGATAGGAGACCACTGCCTAAAGTCATACATAAAGGTTTCGAACGACCTTGTACATCGCATGTGTACTTCGTTATTTACAATTACTTAATTCTTAATCGCTGTTATGATGTAAACATTAAATTGTGATCAAATATTATCTGGTTTGATCCAGAATTTGATAGGTTCAGGGGCTAAACGCCTTGCGGGATAGAAGCATAGAAGTTATATAAACTGTTTATAAAGATTCGATCAGTGGAACAAGCATACAAATGTGTCTGTCACATGACCGCAGTAAATTTGTCGGGCATTGATTTCTCTTTTTATGTTACTTCGGGTGTACCCAATACCAAAATGAATTACAAATCTTTTATATTGGTAAGAGCACAGAACGGGGGTGTTTGAGTATGATCTGTGTCTGTGAACACTTTAACAAATACCTAATTTTTTATGATAGACGAAGACACATAAGCTCCACGCTTCCATGGTTCAATCGATGGTAGATGAAATAACCCAGCCTATTAGAAAAGCGAAATTAAATAGACAGCATCTAGGATGCGCTGTCTATCTAATTAGGCTTTGGATATTTGGAAATCCACAGACTCAAACCGAAACGAGATACAACTTCACGTCTGTTTCATCTGTGTACAGTGGTTCGTGAGCCGGAAGGAATTTCAATATTCCTACCATCCATTTAATATCCAGGTTTAGAGAATATTGTTGGACCCGGTGGGGGTCGACCCGACGACCCGTTTATTAGCCGTACATTGTACCATTACACCAACGAGCCAGCCAAGCTCGTAGTAATATTTATATAGAGCTATTTTTTCAAATACTAGTTTAACAACTGTGCCAAAATGGTGATTAGATTCGTATGTGTTGGATTGCTAATGTTTTGTTCTCAAGCAACCAATAAAATATGAAAATAGCCTACGCTGGGGAACTACTCGTAAGTTTACGGCGATGGCTACAAATCCAGAATTAGAACGTCGCACGCCAAAGCCAAGTGGGCCAAGACGAGACATAAATAACTCCTAAATCTATTCAATTCATTATAAAATCAGATAAGATTCTATTAACATTTTACACACCCATATGTAACCCATGAAACAATGTTACGCCATGGTTTGGCACAGGTATTTGTGTTTAACTCTTCCGTAATCGAATTAGGTTCGTACTTTAAAACCTTAAACTGGGTTCCGTTTATTCCTAAAGCACTCGGCAGTCTGTGACCAAGATGTGCGGAATGGAATGATCGATAATATTTATCAGTCCGTATCACTGATCAATTTATTTAGAAACACATAGTTGATCAGACCGAAAGATTTTATCATTTTTTGGGATTCGAATCCCAAAACTCTCATGCAATAATAATATATGCATGCATAAGCAATACTACACAACGCGTTAATTTTTATATTTGGCGGGCATCATTAGTGATTATTAAATGTATTTTTTCACAATAACAACAAATACGATACAAGCACGTTATGTATACTAATATTATAGAATTGAACAGTTTCTTTGAACGCGGTAATCTCAGGAACTACTTGGTTCAAATTGAAAAGTATCAGATCTAGGTAGGGTTTAGGCTATAAAACATAAATGTTGAAAAATGTGAAAAAAAAAACGGAAAAAATCTTTGTGGCATGCGCTGCAAATTCGGTATAAGATTTAAAAAAATAATTAAATGATCTAAATAAATGTATGCGACTGTAGATGTCTATTTTTAAGATTAACTAATAAGGACGAAGGGACTCGGACGTCGTCGTCGTAACAGATATATTTTATAAAGATAAGGAGGAGGTTTACAAAAACAAATATTTGTTCTACGCAGACAAAGTCACTGGAACAGCTAATAAATAAATAAATGTTTGAAAACTTGATTATTTTTTTACATGTTATTGTACATGAAGGCACTATATAATTTTAAAAATCGAAAATAAATTGAGAATTTTTTTTTAATACGCAAGTGTTAAGGTTGAAAATACATTGCAAGGATGTACCGATAAGTTGAAAAATTCGACGATGAGGAGGTGTAGGACTCGTTAGCTCAATTGGTAAAGCATCAGCACGGAACGCTGACGAAGCTGCTTCAAGTCCTGCCCGAGTCGAAAATTTTTTCAATTTATTTTCGATTTTTAGAATAACTGTTGTTCGTTGAAGTTTACATTTAATACGGAAACCGTCGTACAAAAGTTCAACGTTTTTGTAACGACGTTACAAATAAAGTTACGGAATTACTTGTTACAGGGTGGAAGCGGAGAATTACTACTCGAAATGTTTAACAAAACTCGGTACGAAATTGAGCAAAGCATGCAAAGAGAGTGTAGGCTCTTGCGCAGAGGCGTGGAAGCATGTCGCAATAGAAATGGAGAAACGTGCCGAAATACACAGGTATTTGCATAATTGTATTCATTGTATTTATTGTGGTAGGCCGTTCGATTCCGGGCACGTACTTATGGTGAATCGTTTTGCAGGAATTACTCTAGCGCACTCGCAGAGGAATTAGTTAAGCCGATGAAGAATGTTATCGACAACCAACTGAAGCTAAGAAAGAAGGTACGGATATTTTTATGTTGTGTGTGTATTTCTGTTTAGGAAATGAAACCAAAATACGAATGGAAGAAACAATTCCGGAACAGGATTTTTTAACCCAAAACAAAACCCAGGCCTTTAGTTTCTACACGTACTATTTTCCCAAAATATCTCTGTAATCTTATTTATGTAATAATAAAAAAATTCACAAGTTTTCATCTATGGATTAGTTCGTGACTCATATCGAATCAAAATCCTGTAGTTACTACTCGTACTATTGTTTAAATATTTTCTTATATTAATTACTTTAAGAATAGACTCAAGATTAAAGAAATTTTATTTATAGATCGAAGGCAACGTGGACAAAACAACACGTACCCTAACCGATTGGAGGTCAGCGGAAGTAAAATCGAAGAGACAGTCCCACGCCGCCGCAAGGGAAAATGAGAAACTCCAAGATTCTTCCCTTGAAATTAGGTTTGCTCCATTATAGTAAAATTGACGAAACATATGACTACTTTATTTTTACTATTAACGTTTATTAGCATATGTTTCCGTCGAGAGAAGGATCCTTCGGCTTTGCGATGCTGTGCGACTATGCAGTGCGTTTGTTAGTTAAGTGGGGCATGGGACCAAGTTCATTTTTTGCCTCTCCACAGCAGAATGTCGCGCAGTTCAAGTATGGGCCACATCCCGCACTCGATCCTGAGCGCCGCGCGCGCAGAACGATTAGCTCACTCGTCGACCGAACGAGACGCAGCCAAACTACAAGTCAAGAAACGAAAGACTGAAGATGCTGTTAAGAAGACTGAAGCCGAGTATTACAATGTTTGCGTTCAAGCGGAACGGGCTCGGTAATTAGTGAAATTTTAAATATCGAACGCAATGCTTTAACGCCATTTTGTAAGGGATGTTGTACACAAAAATAAATATAATCTGGTAGTTTCTGCTAGAGAAATATATGTGACAATAACTTTCTTTAATTTTATCTAGTTAAAAAAAACATTACCGAAGATATATAACTTTTGAGGTGTTTTTTTTGTATTGCTTTTAGCGCTTATAAAACTTAGAGCTCTTGTTACATCTTTTTGCTTACTTCAGTAACAGTTTACTCGATTTAAAGAAGCTTTGACGTCATTAGGTCACGGTAATGTTTCCGGGAATTTTAAGAACATATTTTTTGGGCTTTTTAAAACTTTAAAAATTTATAATTAATATTTGGGGGTAAATAAGGTTATCCTTAATCAACATCCATTGATCGCCTCTGTAGCTAAATTGTAAAACGTGTTGCCTAGCACTGCGTAAAACGCAAGAGGTCAAGAGTTCGAATCTCTTGGTCTGAGAGTGCACTGCAGTGAAACGGACTCAGAAATGTGTACGCCCCATGCCCCAAGAGGGGAAACGGGATTTCTCTTTTTTTTATCAACATCGCTATTTTATATTATTTTAGACTGGAATGGGAGACGAGCGTCGTAAAAGGAGCCGGGATGCTGGAATCTCTTGAAGAAGAGAGACTTGCGCAGCTCAAGAGCTCAGCCGATTGTTATCTCAGACTAACAGCAGCCGTTCCGCCACAATTAGCTGAGGTAAGCGTTGAAAACGTAATTAGTAGAAATTTAAATGGCCGGAATGATTATATAACGCTTTTCCCAGGCAACGAACACACTGGTGGGACCGATAAAGAATGCCAACGCGAATCTGGATATGAAAGTTGTGCGCGGCGTCCGTTCAGCACCAGCTGGCGCCAGTGAGCAGTTGCTACCGGACTTCTATTGTGAGCACACAACGCTGGCGATGAATCGAGAGCGTCGTAAACAAGTACGCATCACTGTTATGTAATTAACCTTCAAATGACGACAATGTCAACGTAAAACTTTAGACGAATGATGGTTCCCGCATTCTTCGCGTTTTCCTCTTATTGAATACAAAATACCTATTAAAATAAAAGTGGGTTTGTATGCTGGGGAAGGATGCTGAGAAATCAAATTATATACTGTCTTTAGTAACCGCGTAGTAAACGCGAGTAGTACACATTTACATAAAACACTAACGGTTTAAAACGCGATGTATATTAGTTAAACTTATTTGGAAATTATTTAAACTACGGTTCTAGTCATTTACACTATAAGTTGAACTAATATACAACGCGTTTTAAACCTTTAAGTGATTTATTTAAATCAAATTATATTTCACAATTAAAAGTATGGTTAAGACTCATTGTATTTCAAATTCTTAACCATAATTTAAACGTAAAGCGTTATGCGCAAGAGTTCTGGTTTTGAATAAGAACGTATATTAACTGTGGGATATGAAATAATAACAACAGTAGAAAAAACAGGCCTGTAAATAAAAAAAGACAAAGCAATGTTTTTCACTTATATAAAATAAGGCGTTTTTATTCTTACTCTTATCTTTTACGAATACTCAAAGACATTTAGGTGACTAATACAATGTTTACCTACACTGCGTCATATTTACTGAAACGTGATGATGCAATTTCCCTTTGGAGTCTAGTTGCAATTATTATCGAAAACTATCACAAAATTTAAGACAATCAAATTGCAACTTGCATTAATGTAAGAAAAAAATGACAGTTGAAAAATAACTAACTATCAATAACTACCTTCAATATGGCGACTAACACGCCGTCGTCTATTTATGATCTGAATTTAGTCAAAGTTAAAATCGAACCTGACTTATATATTTCTTATAGATTAAAATCTTACAACTTAATAAAAAATAATGTTAGCAGGAATTAAAAAGCTGACTACGTGATAATTGTAACCCAAAATTACATTACTTTCAGGCCTTACTAAAAATACTGCAGCTCGTGAAACAAGATATAGAGAGGGAAAGAAAATCCATGCAAGGTCTCGAAAAACTATCTGCGGCTATGAAACAGACACCGACTTTCGGAAACGACGATTCACAACAAAACGTAGCTGATAAATTGTACCATGTGAGTTGCCTTACTATACGATACGATCAACTGTTTCTATGAATTCAATCGACTTCTGGTCGAAAGGCCCAGGATTCGATTAGGTTAGGTAAATTTTATTACCACATCTGAGTGATGTATAGTCTCGATTATATCGTCAATGCGCACTGAACTAGCCTTGTGGGTCTTAAACCCTTATATATAATTTCTAACACTACCCCTAACCCAACGAGGACACGCATGTACAACTGTGGGATTTTAATATGTTGTAACGAGCAACGTTAGCATTCTTTAAATTGTATGTCATTGGTTGCATGAATGATTCACTTAAGGTAATTCCCGAGAAACGGAATATTATGTGATGTAAATCATAGTGCAACATTATTTTTGAAATTGTTTTTTCAGTTATTTCGGTTCCATTTATAAATGTTTTCTATTTTCGTAAAAAAAAAAATGTTCGAAAATTAAATTCAACTGCATAGGAAACAACATAATTATCTGTGTTGCGATATAGTACGCTTTTTATGAACATCGATAAAATTAAAGTAGCTATTGTTAGATTATAGTCAACAATTGTTTGTATTCTAACTGCTCTTTAGATATTATATAATTAAATTTATTTATATACATATGTCATAATGGCTGTAACGCATGTTTTTATCCAAGATTCGAATCAAACGAAAAAGCCATTAGTAAATATTACTTTAAGTCTTTTTAAATAGATTTCCGAATGTCCTTGTACAGTTTATTGTTGTTAGATTTAAGGTTAAGTTAGTCTTGAGTTCGAATTCTGGGAATAAAGAAAATTATTCTGTAGTCGGTAGTAACGGACTTAGTGATATATCTGTTCCAGATCCACTTGTCATATTAAAAAAAACATGTTTATATGCTAACGTCTAATATAAATCTTTGATTTTCAGATGAGAGCCATGCTAACATATCTAGAAGCGATAAGATACAAAATAACAACAACTTTAAGCGAAATAGATAACAGACAGCCCGTGCAACATCCTTTGGCAGCTCACATACAAGTTATTAGGGACAAGCAGGGATTACAACAAAGCATACTTAAAGTAAGTTTTTTTATAACAGTAAGGTAGAATTCTTAACGGCATTACCATCGGACGGCGGTGGATCCTAACTCCTAATTAATGTCCTGACCTGGTGAAAACCTAACCCACGATCCGAATTGAACCAACGAAACGATCGACAAGTTAAAATTGTTTTTTTTTTAAGATAGAGTAAGACCGACAAGCAACGTGAACCCCAGTTCACTTGGATATTCGGAAATCTACAGACTGAAACGACATTTTGGTTGTTTAAAAACAAACAAATCTGTGTAACTAAGATCCGTTTAAAATACTTTAGAGCCATCGCAATTTTTCGAGGGTTCGAAGTAAATTCATTGACAGATACATCGTGTTTTAACGTTTAACACGACATAATAATAAACAAGATTCAATAACCATCTTGTATTACTCTAGAAACTGAAACGCTATAACTAGATTTATGTAGGAGTTTAATTTAAATCTGTTTAGAATAACATTTCTCGTCATTTATGGCTTCGTTGGCCCAGTAAATATGGTAGACAACACAAGTAATGATAAATTTTAAATTATGTGTATGGTATAATTCTACTCCTGGTTTGGATATACAAAATATTAGGTTTTTAATAGATTAAAAATCTATTTAAGAAGAAGAAATTCGACGAGCTACCGTGTCTCTCTGGATCCTGTTCTACCGACCTAGTTCGGTGGTCATCGATCTTCTAAGTTTTATCCAATTTTTAATGTACAAATACGCATGCAGCTGTCTTCATACAATTACCATCACTAATATAATGGCAGTATGCGGTGAAGCCCACGAAACTACTGGAGTGGCGTGGTGGGCTCCTAATCCTTATCTGCCTTGAGAAACGTGTAGAACAGCAGCTCAGATCACCGTGGTCGTCGGGTTCGATTCCCGCCCACTTTGTCGAATTTTATTAATATGTGTGTATGGGCGTGCGTGAGTGTCCCGTCATTAAGGATACGATTACCATTACTATTATATAAATAGTCCATAAAGACCATCAAACTGCGCTGAAGCGGCGTGGTGGGCTCTTGTGTCTACTTTGAGATCTATGTGTGGTGATCTATAGGTGACACTTTGATCTGAAAATGTGTTTCACCATACTTTTATCCTTACAGGTACCACCATGGCTCCAATCGGATTACCAAAACGAAGTGAACAAGAACCTGCAACCGAATTACACAGCGCTCACAAAGAGTGTTAACGGCGGCGAAGAAAGGGAACGTCGTGACTCCATAATGAGCCGGGCTTCCAGTAAACTGCGTATTGAACATTTGTCATTCAGAAGAAACACGGAGCATAAAAGTGCACCAGCTACGCCAATATGTTCAGAGCTGCCGGCCCCACCTGTGAAGCCGCCAACGCCAGAAGCACCCCCGCCACCCGATAGTCCGTTAGATTGGAGCGAACGCGGCGCTGGCGACGGCCTTTCGAATCAGCATGATAGCGATTTTGGTAAGGATAAGCTTTATAGCTAATGTGAGAAATTGTCATTTTTGACTATGTGTAAAGGACTAACTAACTTGTATCCAATGAAATGTGCTATATGTTAAATTCTTTAAGTGTACCGTTAAGAATTCATATTTTGAGGTACAGTACGTTTACGTACATTAATAAATATACTTTTTACTTGTATATATTGTTACCAAATTAAATTAAAAGTTCTCGACTTAACCACGACTATGTGACCCTCTCCTGGCGCCAAAGCTGAATCCGCCCTGGCATGTATCTCCATTTATTTAAGAGAAACATTACAGCACACTTTTAACGATTATATGTTAATGAACTTATTTTTAACAAGAACACGACAATTCTGACGGCTTTAATAAGTTAATTATTAAATTACGCGTTTTTTATCCAAATATGCTTGCTGTTAGAAATCCTAAAATATGTTAATGTTATGATAATTACTTAATAGGTACGTTAAGTAATCGTAAACACATAATTGAAAAAAATACGAAGCGGAAAAGTGCTTCGTAATTATAATAAACGATTTCCTTTAATTATCTATTTATTTAAGGCAACATACTTGTTGCTCAACATTATCTGTTGTGACTTAACTGAAAGCCGTCTTGTTCAATATGTTCCGTTTGTCAGGTCAAAGGAACATTTGCACACGATGTTCGTTGGGTCGCTGGTGTAATGGTAGCAATGGCTAATAATCAACGGGTCGTGGGTACGATCCCCACCGGGTCCGACATTTCTAATCAATTTATACATTTTCTGAAACATGTTGGACTTCTGGCTGGGGTATTTTACCTACTATCAATTGATCCCCATGTCTGTTTGGCCTCATCTGTCATAAAAAAATACTATTTATTTCAGATGAATTTTCGTCCCAAAGCGGTAGTTCAACAGATTTGAATTGCTTAGACAAAAACGACGGCAGCGATGAGCCTCCTCACAAATACATCGGAAAGTGCAGAGCGCTTTATACCTATGAAGCAAGATTGAATGATGAACTAACTTTAGCACCAGGTATATCTGTTTATTATTCTCATAACATAAGGCGACGTACTATTTAATGCTTTGCGAAATGTTATATATTGCAGTGATGGTTTTTTAATTACATTATCTATGAACATTCTTGCTTTCATTTGCTTTCGACTTAGGAATTGAAATTGGAGGTTTTCCCTATTAAGAAATTTAAATAAAACTATTTAACGGTTTATAACGCGATATATATTAGTTACGTTAATTAGTAATTTTTAAATAAGTTTAACTAATACATATCGCGTTTTAAACCGTTAAATAGTTTTATTTAGATGTGTACTACTCGCGTAAACTACAGACGAGTAATTATCATGTACGAAGACTATATTGTTGTATTTTTATTTTGAGCATCCAATAATCCCTTACAATTCCATGACTATTGCGAAAGTAATTTAAATATATGTAAAATAAATAATATACTTTAGAAATAATTGTTTTGTTTTTTTTTCAGGTGATATTATTAACATATATGAGAAACAAGACAATGTGTGGTGGAGCGGTGATCTAAACGGGTCATTTGGTATATTTCCGTCCTCCTATGTTGAAGAAATAACGTCTTGCATATAACTTAGGTTAAAGCATACTTATTACTTTTATTAAGATATATTGAGAGCGAAGTAGATCTTTACTAGAACGATTTCGAACATATTGTCGCGGATTCGAGTCTCGTTTTCAGCCATATGTCTTTGTATGACATTGTAATTAAAGTAATGTTGTGTAACTCAAGGATAGCTTTTTATTTGAAAAATCCTTACACTTAACTGTCTTTCTATAGTTTTTGAAGTCTTGATTAAACAAATAAAAGTATTAGGTATGCTGTAACCATTATACGATGCATTTAGTATTTGTTAAAAAATATGAAATCGGTTAAATTAAACCAGATGTATTTTTTTACTAACGTGTCTGTAGTTCTATCTTATCTGCACAAAGATAACCTGTATTGTATAATCTTCTCTGTCTGTAAAATAAAGTATTAAGGGATGTTAAATTTTTTCAATATAAATTACTATCAATAATTTCTATTATGCATCAATAAGTGTAAATAACTAATCTTACCAGTTTCAACATAATAAGTAGTCAATGTTAAATACTTAAAAGAATATCTTTAGTCGTTGTAATTTAATCTTTAAATAAAACCAAAGTATTTTCTTATATAATAAAATTATGATCGCTCCGGTGTGTTAATTATTTATGCCCATTTTTTTCATTTTGTCTTTGCTGTTAAATCTGTAAGTTGCCCTATCAGGAAATTAAGCGAGTAAGGTACGGCTACATTACTGCGTTTGTTTCACTAATCGATGTAACAGAAAAAACAAAGATGAACTTGTACGAAATCCATAATCATCATCCATCTCATTGAAGCCATTTGTAGAGACAAAACGTTTAAACGTATAAGTTTAAGTTTAACGGTTAAATAATACACAGTATGACGACAACACATCGTTTAATAAAATATCGTTTATACATTAGTGTTGGCAAGAACGGATCAAATACAGACCCAAGAGATTATTAATATAGATATTAAGGACAAACTATAAGAGTAGCGGAGAGTAGAAGCGACACTATTAATCCGCCATTTTGGATTTTAAACTTGTGCCTAATTTGTTCTAAATTCGAATTTAATAAGGACTTACAGGTTCTTAACATATATAACTAAATCAGGTCCACCAATATCCATAAAAATATGCAATTAAAATAATGTTGCAGTTCAAAAAATTGTTTTCGCTCCTTTTGACCTTTGGGGCTTCAATCTTTAAAATCAAAATAGACATTGCATTGCTTATACGCTTACTTCTTACAAGTACATTTTAATTTGTTACCCTTCATATTAGTTTTTGATTATTATAGCTCATTATACGATTTCCTTCTCCTCAATAGCGACTTAACAGTGTAGCTTAAATACTAATGAGACTAACATGCTAGCTGTATACCACTGTTATGTACTTGACTGTACCTACTAAATAAAGTATTATACGTAAACTTCCTCCAGACAACTTTTGTCGCGTCACACTTAGTCTCTACATTACAGTAAAACTACCATCATTGTCACATACTATCGGTCCCTCAATACTACAAAGGCCTGTCTTTATAGAACAGCACGTAAAAAAAAGAGCCTGCTAACCATAATGCCTGACGTTTACTTGATGGAAGGTGAAATTAGTTATTTCACCTTCCATCAAGGTGCAAATAACCCAGCCATTTAACATCTAAACAAGATGCGCGGTCGACCTATTTTGGCTTCTGATATTCGGAAAACCAGATTGAAAACGAAACATAATTTTAAACTCACGACTTTTGCATCTGATGGTGATTTATAAAAGTTATAATTTGATTAGAAACATGATCCGTCCATTATTAATGTATGACACATTGCTACTATTATACCAACATGCCAGTTGGTCATGGTAATTAAAGTTATTTAGAATGTCATTTATTTCAATGGCATGTCTTTCTTTGTTTTTTTTTTTTCGTGAACGAGCAGACTCGAGACCCCGGAATCAAGTTCCAATACCCCATTCAACTTTGACGATTTGGTTAAAATACGGAACGATTTTGTTTTATAAATACAGGCCTGGCACCCTACTAAAATCATTATATACAAAATCATTAAGAACATCGTTCTTATATCACAATTCTCTTTGCAAGTGCTCTCAATATCTGAGCGATTAAATAAAAGTGTTTAGCACATTTTATTAAGAGACATTAATGCAACACATGGACTTGACAACTAGTAACGCTTGATTCATATTATGAAGAGATACGAGTATATGGCAGTTTCAGGGTGCATCTGCCTTTAGCAATTATTCTTACTTGTGTGTTATGACCCTATGAGTCAGTGGAATACCTTGTGGAATATGAGTCAGTATTCCACAAGGTATTGCCATGTCCATCAATAATTATAGTTTACCAGTTATTAAGTTAGAACTAAGTAATCTATTGTTTTTACCAAAAAGACAAGAAAAAATGGAGTCTGCATACTAAAACAATAAACTAACATAAAAATATATGGAACAACAAATATAGATAGGTTCTATAACATATGTCCTAAAACGCAGAAGCACTTACAAAATGTTTCGTCTTCCTATTGTTAGAATAACGAACACCTTATATTGCAAACCTAGTTTCCATAAAGTTAGTCCATACACAGAAGAGATACAAAAAAGCCCTTTGCCTGACGTCAAACAACTTATACCTTGCAACAGCATGGTTAAAAATTTTATCTTATTCATTTACCATTCATGCGCATTTCTAAGAGCTATTTTAAGACTACGCTGTAATAAAACAGCATGTTCATAATTTACTTATAACATTTGCGCATTTTACACTATAGACTTACTTCCAAGTGCAGAAAATAAACTCACTTACCATGTGTGTAAAAGAGTGTCTGTGTTTGTAAGAAGCTTTCTGTTACTATAGATGTTGTTGATACTTTAGGGTTCCATAAATATTGAATAAAAAAAGTGGCCAAAATAAATAAATATAAGTTTAGGAGTGGGCAACAAAGTGAAAAAAATGTGAATTTTAGTCAATTCCCAGACCTACTGAATTTGCTCACAAAATTAAATACTGTCTATAGTTTACGCGAGTAGTACACATTTAAATAAAACACTTTAAGGGTTTAAAACGCGATATATTAGTTAAACTTATTTGAAAATTATTTTTAACTTCGGCCCGACGTTTCGAGCTTTGGCAGCCGTGGTTACGGGGAGACTGTCCCCCGTGACCACGTCAAATAAGTTTAACTAATATATCGCGTTTTAAACCGTTAAAGTGTTTTATTTAATCGCTCACAAAATGTTATGCAAAATCGGTTATCGCGGGGGGGGGGGGGGGGGGGGGAAAAAAAAAACCCCCCCAATTCCCCTTATTTTAAATTTTTTTGGGGGGGAAAAAAAAATTTTTTTTTTTTTTTTTTATTTATGGGGGGGCCCAAAAATAAAAAAACTTAAAAAATACACACACTAAACTTTTTACAATGTCTCTTAGCTTGTTACGCGATATTGGATCGGAGTTCTTACTTTGATCTAGCGATAGCTAATACATTGGTACTGCTGTTTCATTTTATACAGTTTTGACCAGTTTATTTTAACATTGCTTGGCAAGCCGTGACACGTGTGGTACTCACTAACGAGATGCAAGCGTAATCATTGTACTGTTATCAAAAGGTTTGTTTGTTTGACCTTGACAATTTCTAAAGCTACTGGTTCGAAGTGAATAAGGTTCAAGTAACCAAAAGTGTGTAAGTATGAAAGAATAAATGACCTAAAAAAGTCTGCCATAGTATATATCTGACATTTATATTTTTAGCTAACTTATAAGGATCATTACTATGATAATCAAATTCGAATTAACGCATCATTACCAATGATTTGTTAAGATATAACATAATAATATTAATCTTGCTTACAACAAAACAAACATTGAATCAGCCACGTTATAGTGGACACACTAGTATCTATAAGTTACTGCTCACTAGTGAGTACCTGGCTTAAGATGGCGTCAAGATCCTCACACTACTTCTAGACATAGCTCTATGTTTTGTTTATTAATTCTTAATTCTAACATTAACATATTCAATAACTTTCTCTTCGCTTCAACCTTAAGAACTCAGGTTCCTCGATTTAAGAGTATTGTTAGATATAGACAAAAATTGATAGAATAGTCGGCAGATCTAATAATTCATAATTTATTTATACAAAAATATGCATGAAATGTAATCATTGCGTTCTTGTATTAATCCTAAATTATTGAAGACGTATAATTTTGACATTAAAGTCTATCCTTAATGTCGAAGAAACTGATACACGTGACTTGATTTCGATGTTCAAAGCAATATTCAGAATCTAACAGGGAAATCTATTACTCGTTATATAGAGAAATTCTACAAAGACATGTTACGCTACGTCCACACTGCCGAGCACCTCTTTTTTGTTTATCGAAGCAGTCGCATTAAGTTCAGTAATATGGACGTAGCTTTAGGATGCATAATGGAAATATGAACTACATATATACAAAAGACTTAATAAAGGAGCGTTTACACACTCCATATCGTTCAAAGTGAATTATATCACTGTGCACTGGTGAATGCCATTAAATGATACATACTTCTTATTACTACATAAAAGAAATGGCTTTGATAAGTCCATATTTGAGGACATCAAATCAATTCGATATTATTTAAGAAATGAGGTCTTTATAAAATAAAATAGCGAATGCTACACGAATCGTTGGGGCGATTCTTAGAAATAGATTCTACTTACGTTTAAACCTTTCTTTAAATTCATACAAAAGTCAGTGATAATTTTATGTCGTTCATATTACAATAGCCTGTCAGTCCTCTTGTCCAAATTTGGTATTACACCTGTGGCTATCGCTATTTTATTTTATCAAAGCACCTAGCAAAAAAAATCTTTGGGTGCTAATAACAACTATTCATTACTTTTTCAATGGAGCATTGTATAAAAGTAAGTTTAGAGAAAATTTTGATCGGAATTATTCGCAATAGTGTATTTAGATCTAGACTAACAGACAAGAACGTAGGAAATTCATTAGACAATAAACAGTTAATATTTGTTAGGGGTTTTCTCTTGGCAGTGACCATGTTAATTTTAAACTACAATCTACCATTATTGAATAAACAGAATTATTTATTACACACTGTACATGAATAACGTATGAATGTAGAGGTATAAAGACATTAATTGTTAGTTTATTTTAAAGAAATCGGAATAGTCACTTGTGAATAAAAACTGCTGAAGTCGAGATAGCTATTTCTGTATGATTGTTCGCCAGAAGATGCCAACCTCTTAAGATCCTCCCTACACCGGGTTTGCAGCCCAAAAATTTGTGCGATATTACCGGGAAAGCCTTGTACGATATATAGCTATTTATTCTTAAATAAGTATTGGATTATATTATTACTAAAAATCTAGAATACAAGAGTCAACAATAGCTCGACTAACTTTTTTGCATCTCTAATGAATTGTTGAATGTTTCATATGATGTGCAATTATGTAAACGGTAAACAAATACATTTAGAAAGCCTAGCTAAATAGCGAAAATGTATAGTGTACTAATGTATCCAAAATATAGTATGTACTGACCAACACTCTTGGCAGTTTCAAACAGACAAGTTCATTTTGAAGTATACCGTTCGAAAAGATATATCCTATATCCTAAGCATTACTATGGACGATATTAATGAATATTATAATAGTAGTCGGCAGGGCATTTGGGTAAACAAATAAAACAAAAATTTCAGATATAAAGAAGAATGAATTTGGAAAAAATATAAATATTATCAAACATAACAAAAATAAAAACAAAGTGAACGAGAAGTAATGATTTTCTCTAGAAAGCCACAGCAGTCATTTGTTTGTTTATAATAGTGGACGCTACTGCGTAGCATCCGACCGGATGGCCAGTCGCCGAAAGATCATTGAAAATTGTTTTCCTCACTAAAGGAACGGCTGTTCAATTTGATGAAAATCTTCTACTTTTTATACTTTCGCTTTAAAAAAATAACCGGTCGGACACTATGCAGAACTGACTGATTCTAGTGTAAATAGTATAGTATAGGTAAGCTACATTTCTTTCGCTAAAATTAAATATGCGTGCATATATGCATATGACGAATACAAGCACAATAACAATAAATGCGAAAATAAATTCTTTAAAACTCTCGAAGAGGAACATACAATAGACATTTAACTAAACTAAGTCTAAATTAAAAATTTAAAACAGTAACATTCAAATCAATCAAACGTGGCGAGTGGACGTGAAAAATAGTATTTCGGTTATATTTCAACTATAAGCTATACAAGACTAGACATTGAGCGATTATATGGGATATGAGAAGAATAATGTAGTATTCCAACTTAATGTAGCCGTATGGACTTATAGAATAATGTAAACGAGTTCCAGAATATGATACTGAATAACATACGACGTATCAACTACAATCCACCATTCATTCGACTCGATTCTTCCTATTTACAATAGATTATTCGAATGCGATAAATATATTTTCATTCGTGCAAGAAGCGTTATTATAGTTAAGCGTAGTAAGCGAACATAGGTATATAGTCTTAAACTAAAAACAGTTGTGCTTTTAGCGCGTTAACTTAAATAAACTTTGGCAAAAAAAATATACATATCACGGCTAACTGAATGCACACAAAGTATTTGAGCGGCGAGTCGTTATGAACGATCATTAAGATTTTAAAATCGCCTTGGCCTGCGTACAGCGACATCTATACTTCAATATATAAATCATCTTTCTCAAACAGAGGTGAAGTTACATTAATTCCATTGGAGCAAAAAATTGGTATAAATGTTTCTAATACAATTATAAATAAATTGTGAAAAGTCCCCATCGACCCCCCTTGTGCAATTTCTTTTTTATTAATAGTGAAAGTTAGCCAATATTGGTTTTTCACATTTTTCAGCTAAACAGTGGTTTTTACAACAAAACAGTTAAGACAAAATTTGTAGATAATCCAATGCTCTACAATGCATGAACACTTTTTTAACAACTCGCGATTTCCGTGATACCCTCTGTATCAATGTTCAAAGGACTGAAAAAGGTTTTTTACTCGAGATCTCTTATTCTGAATCTATATTCTGAACATTGATACCAATTTTTAGCTCTATGGGAATTATTGTGAGCTCAAAGTTGAACTTAACTAGACTAAAAGATGGTTTGAGAAAAAGGCCAAGGCGTTTGAAACTTTGCCTAAAATATACAAGTGAATACATAGTGTAAGAAGAAAATAACAATTGCTTTGCACTAATCGAAAATAATTTCTAAAGATCATCAACCTGGTCACAGTAACTTACGTCTTATCTATACAGCATTTACATTATAATATAAAGTTAAATTTGTTGTTTAAAAAACCTACGCTACACCCTTTATAAGGTATCATTCATCACAATTTTATTGTGCTGCCATTTCGTAATCGAGAAACGTTTTCGGATACAAAACAAACTAGGCAAGAACTTTTCATTCCTTTTAACACTTTTAGGTTATGCAATCACAATTAACAACTTTTGAAAATTATTTTCACGTATTAAACAAATTAAACATTTTACTTTTTTAATGAAAAACATGATACGAGCGAGACTAGAATCTACGACCATAGCAATCAATGCTCACGTCACCATTGTATTTCTTCAAAATATACCTGCGAAGCGTTGTGGTCGTAGATTCTACTCCCGGTCGTTGTGTATTTTTTTTTATAATATACAATAGATTTTTAATTCCATAAACGGATTGGCGATTAAAAGCTATTATAAAAATTGTGCTGTAGCTTAAATACGATTGAATAAATACAGTGAACTTAAGAGTAATCCGCGGATTTAGCTGCCCTATAATTGAATATTGTAACAACAGGCCTAAGCACGAATCATGCATTGAATAACCCACCAAGTCACAAATCCCGATTGTTGTATCCAATCTAATTAATGTTGTAGTTCTTAGAAGAGACGATACGAGTCGTAAAACCGAATCTAATAAGGCAAATACCACTTGCGTTGTCATATTTGGTTCGGCCATATTTAAATAATTTCCAAACAAGATCCAGTTTTTCATAGTCCACTCCTAGAGTTGTAAAACACAAATTTAGCACTATAACGCACTCTAAAATAAAACAAATTTGTATTAAAAAAAGGGCGTTCATTTGATGGGAGGGAAATAGCCCAGCACATCTTCCAAAGCGCTGTCGATTTATTTTAGCTTTGGATATACATAAATCCACAGACTAACCGAAACGCGATAATAATTCAATACTTTATCATCTGTGGCCAGTTGTACGTGATCTGGACGGAAGTACGATATTGCTACCACGTATTTAATATCCAGACTTCCAGGCAAAGTCCAACATGTTTTTGAACAATTATAAATTGATTAAAAATATGGTCTAATCTTTCTAATCATTGGGAATCGAATTTTCGTCCCGTTGATTATTAACCATACATTGCCACCATAGGACCAAGGAGCCCGTCAAATTAATAAGTGTTTTATCACCTTTTTTGCTCTGTTATTGTCCCACAGCTGGGCACGTGTATAATATTTTATGGGAGATAGGATTCGGTTAATCGTAACTCCAGCCACTAAATTAGTGTTGGTGAAAAGACAGCAAGCTTTCCAACGCATGGAGGTAATGATGTCTAATAAGGATTTTCAAAAATCCGAGTGGTAACTACGCAACATACAAGTATCGAAACAGCAATTCACCTCACCCGGGAATCAATAGACTAGAAGCAGTTTTTTGTTGTCTAAATAATATTCTCTCGGAATGGACTATCTTTCTGGACAAGCCGTAACTTACTCAGTCACTATACTAACTCTAATTACGTGCTTTGAAACCTGTATCACTATATTTACTCACGAAAACTATTACGATTGTCTAGCAGAACTATTATGTTTATTTTTTTATTGGCAGTGTTATTAATTGTCGATATTTCCAATGACACAGTCAACGGTAGGCCACACGTGATGGAAGGCATTTGAATTGTCCGTTTCTATAATTATGAATGTATTCAGACATTTAAGTTAAAAAAAACCTACATATGATAGTTGGAATGTGTTACGCGTCTTTTTTATCTTTCTTATGAACTTAAGCCCCGTGTTTTTTTTATCACATCACGATGTTTTGGAGAAAAATTCAAATCATGGCTTCTAGATCTTTCGCCAACGCTGTTAAATTTTCAACATAAAATAATTAACACTATTATAAAAATATATCTAGCGACCTGGCTCAAATTAAATCTTATCACATGACCTATAATAATAAATTCATATCGAAGAATACGCGATTAAAAATAGCTACAAAGTGTTACGGATACATACGAATGAAATTCCCTAAGGATAATACTGGATATTATAATCAAAATAAATTGTTCGTCAGTGTACCTGAAATGCAAAAAAACAAACATATTACAAAATGTTCAACTTATTAATTTCCCACTATTGATCACGAAACTCAGGTAGCTTTTAAAAACGTCGACCCGCTACGATGCACCAGTGACAGTTAGTGGGCTTTAACGAATGCTGTCAAAAATTTGCAATACAATTGGGAACGACGGCTTAACGTGCTTGAGTGTGTGAAGCGAGGTAAAACAGAATGTATAAAAAATCATAAGTTTGAAGCAAGACCGGAGATTGAACACCCGATCTCACAAACAGAAGTCAGGTTCACATACCACTGGGTCAACAAGAGAAATTTTGAGTGTATATTCTGTTACGAGAAATTTTGAGTTTTCTCACAGTTTTTAGTGTGCTGCTCGGATTTGCTCGAGATCGTCGTCTGAGTCCGTGGGTGGAGCCTGTTCGGAGCCGGCCAGGACAGTCAAATGCGTGGAGTCGCTTTGCAGTGTGCTACATTCGCCACCACCGCTGCCGGTCCAATTACCACACTGAGCCTTCTTCTGTAACGCTTGCACGTATGACTGAAATAACAATTATAACCATGAAATAAAAGAAAAACGTCAATACTGGATTGGAAACGCACGCGATTAAAGTAAGAATATGGTCGATGTCATTGGCCTGTAAAAACTGCGCGTTTGCGTGTGTTTTATGTGACTTTGACAATTTCGACAAAGGATTTGAGACACACTTATTATTTTTATTATACAGAACTTCCGGAAATAATAACGTTATCGTGTTTTGTAGTGTAGAATAAATCAAATATCACCTGTGAAATGACGTCACCGTGAGCAGTCCGCACTTGATAGAGATAGCGATATTTCCGCTGTTTCATTTCAGCGCGTTGTTCGCGGGTCACTGGTCTGGCTGGTTGCGCTTTGAGCCGACGCTTTTGTGCACTTATACCTGAAATATATCGGTTTCAACCTGTTAATGTCCTAATGGAGACTTCCATCCCCTCTCCTAGAGGGGGGTTTTGCTTAGTAATAGCTTCGAATCACAATACAGGGTCAATAAATCGTACTATAGGGCGATTGGCTTTAGCGACTATCGCCACAAAATGATCGGGAATTAACTTAGCGTCCTCTTCGTAGATTATGACACTTTCTACTTCTGAACGTCACTCTTGCACCAGAAATTTCAGATACTAAACGAATATGTAATCTCGGATTCGAACCCCATGCCTTGTAATTTTTCTAGTTGCGTGACAGTTAAGACTGAAATATATATATGCAGTATTATTTGTTCATAAAAACACAACAATTATTGTTTTTGACCACACAGACACAACCAAGTAATAAAAAGGGCATATTTATATGCTCAATCGCATAAAAGAAAGGTGATTTAAAACACAATGGAGAAAAAAATTTCTCCATTGTGTTTTAAATCACCAATTCTATATTATTTAATCTAGGCGAAACGAGTTCCATCTTCTCAATAGGTGCTCTTATTACTCAAAATAATATAGACAATATAGCAGAAGATGATATCGAAGAACATAACATGAAACAAATAATAGGATATTGCAGAGAAACCAGAAGTTCTGATGGGAATACAGTAGGAGTTGGATAACCCAACGTCTTTCGTAAAGGGAGAATGGGGTAAAATGTTTACAGCTAATGGAGACTGATCACCCGGCCTTCTATCGGAGTTCCTTATACAAAATGGTAACAAGTCCAATTTTAAATTTAGAAAAAGAAGACTCACTTTGCTCATGATAGATTCCAGTGCCGGTCAAGGCGCACTGAGCTGTGAAGCCAACGATGGCCACCGTAGGCCAAGCAGCGAGTGTCAACCATGATATTGCACAAGGCGGAGGCACTGCAGGCTCCAGCTTTGCACGCTCCCAAAGCTAAAAATAGAAAATTTACTATTAATAGGTGAAAAACAAGCGTAAACAATCTAATGTTTAATGCTGGGCGCAGGTATCCTATCTCACAGAGTATTAACGGTACAAGGCAGAATAACTCTTTCAATTAATTGCTTCTTATTTAAAAATGACTATACTCGATTAGCGAAACGAAATCAGAAATATGTCTATGAAACACATTTGACCTGTATTTATTTAGAAAATAACATATATATATTACCAATATATTCTTAATTGGTTAGAACAACAGCACAGAACGCTGTGAATGCCAGATCAAGGCCCGTGTCGTTATACTATGTTACCCGAGTGATACTATGTTATTTTTGCCCAAGGTTCAAATCCTGGGCATCTCATATATCTGAATGACATTTACATATTGACCTAAAGATTATAGGATATATTGTTAATGAATACCAACCCATTTAAGCATCACCATGCGTTCTATAAAATAGTCCAGAGATGTAGCGATGACGGCCCCACCATACACACTCGTACCGAAAATTGTCAGAACTGAAAGATTAACGGTTTTGATTATTCTAATGTTTGGCTACCTCTGACCAAAGACAATATGAGGCTGCTAGCGGCAGTGGTCCAATAACAAAAATTAAAGATTTTCAATAAGGACGAAAATAAGAATGAGCAATTAACTTAGGCGAAATTGAATTGTTACTAATATTTGTGTAAGAATTATGTTAAGAATTTCCGGTCACTGTGCTCGTGTAGATTAACATTTTTAGACTATAAAAATGTGAAAACTCAAGTCATAAAATTGCAGTTAGGCTACTCTGCGTTCAATTTACGTATTAAATGCTATAGACAAAACTGTAATATGTCCCAATGCTGGGAACCGATATTCTTTATTATTGATGAATGTTTGTATCAACCACCCACAGTGTCTAATATGTGTATGAATCATTGGATCGATTGGAATCGAATATCGAAATTCCATCCGGGTCACAAATAACAATCTACGAATGGTAGTCATGAAATATAAAACTTCGCGGTTTAATTTCAGTCGGTAATTTTCCGAATGACTGAAGACAAAAGTCGAAAACGCGTCGTAATTATACGTTTTTAGTGTACTTCATCTTGCACGTGAACGTTGTGCTTGTCTGACCCTTGTCATAAAAATCTATTAATAGTCAAAAAGTTGCCGTAGAAGCCTTTATAAATTATAAGATATCAACTATAAAAGGCAGTAAATGAATGGAGTTTGTATACTCCTCATTGATTTCTTCCACTCTATTCTAGAAAGAAGAACTTCATTTCCAAGGCATACTCACGTTGCATTCAAAATTCAATAATCATATCTTCTTATCTTATCTAAACATGAAAAAGAAACAAATTGATACACGTAACTGATAAGCTGACTCAGCTTTTATTATATACGCATTGCAACAATCTTGATATATATAGGATAGCTTTAAACGTACGCTAAAGATTTCTTAAGAATATAAAAGTTGAATTTATAACTGTTACTAGCGCTACCTATTTGCTTCTAATTTGCAAAAACTACATGAGTCTTAACAGAATTTAATAACTGTGCCTTTTCTAAAATTCATGATAATTTCAGCCTGATTTTAGATGTTCCAAAAGTTGAATTTATAACTGTTACTAGCGCCATCTATTTGCTTCTAATTTGCAAACACTACACGAGTCTTAACAGAATTTAATAACTGTGCCTTTTCTAAAATTCATGATAATTTCAGCCTGTCTAAGATTATTTTTTAGAACGTGCAATAGTAAATCGTAACTACAGATAAAAATTAACTCACCTTTCTTCCAGTATAGATTGAAAACTGCGAACATTATTCCCGATAACAACAAAACGACGACACACAGCCAATACTGAAAAAATAAATGTGTCATAAGATTTCATACATTTATCATAAATCGTTTATACTGGGACTCAAAGGGTTTTTATTCTAGAACGCTGAGCAAAAGCATGTTTATTTATTTATTTAGCACAAGAAAAGCTAAACCATTGTGTCCTAAAATATGTATGTCCTGTCTTTATTTAGATAAAGGAAACATCGTGCAGAAACCTGCATTATATAGAACTTACAATTTGAAATTTATTTACTGCTATGACCTACAGCGCAGGAAATAAACATTTGATTGCTGTTGTAAAAGATATAATCATATAAATTATACATTCTATGATCTCATTATACAAAAATTGCCGCTGAGCTGTTACTTAAAAATATTTAAATAAAACCCTTTTAACGGTTTAAAACGCGTAATATATTCGTTAACTTCAACTATGTGTCGAATGTTTTTAAGCAGTCGTGATCCCGTGGCCTTTTAATGTGGGGCTGTAGTAAAATAAATCACTTTTAACATGAAATATGTTAGTTGACTTATTTTTAAACTACGACCCGCCGATTCAGATGCTTTGCAACCGTCGCTGCAAAGTGTTTTATTTAACATTTGTGACTACATATGTGTGTGTGTACATCAATTTATAATAACATCTTAATTTAACATTAATATAAATATCTGTCGCATTGATTTTGCAGCCCCATTATTTATTTAAATTATTGAATAGCTTTAAAAGCTTAAGGTCATGGCAGTGATACAGCAGATGCCTTACGCAGATAATATTATTCGGAGAAAGTGAACGATCGAACGAGCAATACGTGAGTTTTCAACAGCCATTGATACGCACAGCTTAAATAGCATGTTTCCAATATTGCATTTTAGACGTGTTGTACACTTAAATAGAAACAATGAAAGGCTTAAATTCGAGGAATTATGTTTTATACGTGATCAGAGGAATCAAGGAGGCGGGGTTCAAAGAAGTGACAAATAATTATTATCACACACATAATTCGACGGCCTCTGTAGCTAAATAATTAAACGTATTTCCTAGCATTGCCCTAAGCACGAGAGGCCCTGGGTACCAATGCCGGGGAAACAATAATGTTCTAAGGTCTAATCGACTACTTACCGGTAAATAAAACCGAACAATGTATCGCACACAGAAATGTATTTCCCATGCCCTATGGAGGTAAACGGGATTCCACTTTACACGTATCATGTGATCATTATTATTTTGTTAACTTGGTATTTCGGAATGTTAGTTAGTTTAGTTCATGATTCAAATCCAGACCAATCTAATTATGTATGCTAGCTAGTTATATAAAAATAATAGTTAGTTAAAATAAAATAAAAAGTTAATTAATATATTTCGCATTGAAACCCGTTAAAAGTGATTTGATTTAAATGTAACTACTCTATAGACTATACTCAATAGTAATATTATGTGAAAAGTGTATTTATTAAAATGTCTTTGTGATCTTAATACTTCGTTGACGCTTTCTGTTTCGGTGCCTTAAGAAAGAAGTAGATAGCGATGTTAAGGCATGGGGAAAAGTGTCTGAAACGTTTAATGTTTTTCACATGATTATGATAGATAAAAAAATACGACACGGGCAGGATTTAAAAGTAGCTCAATTGGTTAGAGCAACAGCACGCTGTGCCAGTTCAAGTCTTGCTCGTGTCATAAATCTTTTTCAATCGACAAGGTGTCGTTAATGCGTTTTTACTTGCGATATGCTTGCTTCGTATTAACAAGTAAAATGGCATACTATAAAAGCATAAGCGGTTTTACACTATCTAACAATTATTAGAAACTAATCGCACAGCTATGTAGGCGTGGATAATTACATCTCTTCGCTATCGACAGAACGTATAGTTGAAAATAGTCACGCAGTACTTTCACCTCAACTTTTACATATTCGGCAGTTCGGCCTCGTTGGTGAAATGGTAGCAATGAAAAATAATCAACGGGTCGCGGGTTCGATCCCGACCAAGTTTTCCCCCAACATTGGAAATCTGGATGTTAATTATCGAAATTGCAATCGGGTCACGAACTACCGTCCGACCGTACCGATATGAAAGTCGATCCGAATATTTATCAAGACAATTTTGATTTTTAGTATATTTAATGCACAAGGGAGAATTTATATAAAATGTTACGTTCGGGATTAAACGTACCCTATTTTGACAGCACAATACGATAATGACCTCATATTCTTCAACTTAATTTTTTGTAATATCAAATGTCAAAAGAATATCAAATGTCAAAAGATATATCTAATATATAATGAACTGTCTATTGTAGGTCGTTGGCCTGCATCTATAATGCTGAATAAACATGTACAAATATGTTTCAGCTAATAATACGTAAACAACATTTGTCTTCATTATATCGAGTTGCAGTAAGTATATCGTCGTTATGTACCGTGTGCAATTGAACACGTTATTATGTAGTTATAGCTACGGCTCAATTGCGTTTAATATCTGTGACGATGATTACCTATCTACTTGAATAACATTCAACATATATGTAAATAATATATACATATGTGTATCTCATTTTTCATCATACACAAGCAAGAGTCCGTACAATTAAAAAGAACTATACTAGTATAATAAAAAGTGAAAAGTTTGTTTGAGCGAACTCAGGAACTACTGGTTCGAATTGAAAAAAATATTTGCGTGTCGGTTGGACCATTTATCAAGGAAGGCTATAAAACAACAGGGTGCGACTAATATTAACGAAGAAACAGAAGGAAATGTGGAAACAACGAGCAAATTATTATCTAAAATCTTTAAAGTTTCCGACACCATATGTATCTTTAAAGATTATTCCACAAGAAACGTTTTTATGATAATTTAGCCGAAATACTTCATATGGCAAAAAAGGTCAACATCACGTTCTAGATGGTTTATATGGCTAGGATATTTTAAAACTATTTTTTTATTTCACTCTTGCCTATCTTCTTACAATAATAGCAGCTGCGAATTTTAAACCAGTTTGCGTAACCAAGTAGTAAATTTCACCCCGTTTGAATCTAACCACACAAAGTTTCTATCTTTGATACAAAACGGCTTAGTTGACCATATAAGTAAAATTATATTTACGGTAAATCTATCAAGTATTTCAGCAGAAAATGGTTACACGCTAAATAGAAAATATTAGTTAATTGACTTTAAATATATTTCGTATGCTTTTAAATTAATCAGCTAATATTTCGCTTTTGAAACCGTTTAAAGTGTTATATTTAATATGCTCAACTCGCTTAAACAACAACCAATAATCCTTATGATGCACGCTGTAACGACAATTCGATTCAAACACAACCTGATTTATTAATTTCGTAACATTATGTTTACGCAGCACATAAAGTATAGATCATTAGAATTGTATGGCAAGAAAAATTTCGCATGAAAATCAATGTGGAAGTGATTATGAAGAATAGATGGTAACGTAGAAAATAAAAGTAACAAGTTACATAAAAGAAATCTTACCGTATTAGGTCTATTATCGAGAAAATGATCGTAGATGGCCAGACCAGCAACCGCTAGCAGAAGTCCCGTATGAAATCCTGTCATGAACAGGCCCACATACTGAATCAGCATAGTTATCAGGCCAAAGAGAAGACCAGCACATAGAGCGACTCCTGTTAACAGAGGAATAGTTTTTAACAGTTATTTATCAAGAAGATTTAACACAAAGAGAGTACTGTATTATTTATTTGTTTTTGGGAGAAAATACCATTTATGGTAGCACGAGACCAGCTACTGGTATTTGCTACTAGTAAAGAAATAAGCAGTGAACAGAGGTAAGTTTAGTGATTTAATAAAATTCCTTGAACGTAATGCAAAATATACTCACCGACATTACCATATGGTGGCATTAAGTATTCTTGAAGGCATATCAGATACACAATAGCGGACCCAAATGTAAATCCCGTCAGGAACATACTAGCTTTAAAGCAACGGTAACCTATAATTGTTTAAGTTTGTAAGCATTGTTATAATCGTTACATATCCGAGTCTATGTATAAAATTTAGTGAAAGTTTCTACCTATATATTTTAATATGATATACAATCATTTATAATTATGAAATACTATAGTAATATAGTAAATGTATATAATATAGTAAAACTCAGATAAACTTATTTCACATGTAATTGACCAGTTAACTTTTGTCACACTAGCAATAGAAAGTGGTATATTAAATGAAACTTACCAAATATAGAATAAACAATTCCAAACACAATATACATTGCGCAGATAATGCTAATCACTGGATCATAATTGGTGTCAATAGAGGTGCAGAAAGACCCTTCTATATGTGGACCGTTGAATGTGTATGTTGTGTTGGGTGGGCCCTTTGTAACTGGGGGTACCAGTTGCCCCACAGATGACATTTTTGTGATTTTATGTGCTTACAGAAGTTGGCAATATACCTAAAACAAAGAAAACAATGCTTCTTGTGAGTTTTAAGAGGTGTTCTTATTAGAAGAACATGTAAAAAAATTAATTGAAAGTATGTAAGTCTTATAATTTATATTATACTATATATTATTTATGTATGCCAGTTTAGCTGAGAATAAAGAAACACAAATTTAAAAGAGGTAATTGAGTTAGCCACTACCTTACAACTTAACGGTGTTAGATACAGCTTGTAGCAATGTCTGTTATTTTTATAGCAGCTACAACAAATTATAATTATATTATTGAACTTTGTTCAGTACCTTAAATATTTTTTTACTGTATATGATGTTGCTTAGAAATTCTTGTCATTAAAATATTAATTACACGAATGAAAAATTAGACAAATAAATGAGATTTAAGGTCCAATAATTAATGAAAAAAAATACGAATCAGTCTATTTCGTAAATCAGATGTCAAGCAGTGCATGCAGTTTTAATTATATAAAATTTTGTCTACACTGACGAAAACCAATATATTATCTAGAGAAGCAAAAAATAATAATAAATTGCTTACCATAGCACGTGATACCTTAGTTTTCACATTGTAAGACACTAACAATTCTTCAATTTGTATCCACTTGGTGTCTAGTATAATGGTAATAAAATCAAACTATTGTACCTATTATGAATACAACAATGTCAAAGAACTGAGATACAAAAATATAGCACTAAATATTTTGATAGAAATGTAGATACAATGTTTTTTGAGAATTAATAACGATTTTTCTTTATTCTTGTTAGTTCGTCAAGTGAACTCGTCTCTCTTGAGCAAAGAGTATAGGTGCATAGGTACGTACCTAATAAAATAATAGTAAGCAAATAAGTGCAAATAACAATGGTCATAAACTTCTAGTCCCTGTGGAGTACCACAGATACTATTGATAACCGTAGAGCATAGACCATTTGATATTTTATAGATGTAGAAAATGATGCTGTGGAAGAATCGAGAAAGTATTCCACCAAAATATAATATAAATAAGTTTAAAATTCATTCATTGATTTGAAAAATATGGAATTAACTGCAGGTATATGGTTATAGTTTAATAATTATATCTAAACAAAAATATGCACTTAGCCCGTATTGCTTAAAACAGCTTTTTAAGGATAATATTTAAGATAAGTAATATTTCTAACTTTTTCTTAAAGATTCGTATCATGATGTCAGTTGTCATTAAAATTATATTATTTATTCGTAATGATAAATGAAGTTTACGTAGCCAACTTCTGTCATATTTGTCAGTTGTCTCTGTATTTATTTAAATTATACACATCTACGGCTATCACTTAATTATTACAGCACCAAATATTAAGTTTATAATAATAATATAACATGTTTATTTTCAACACTACTAACTTATCTATTCTTTGCCAATAAAACAAATGTATTGAATTATTCAGGAGCTATATTTTCAGAGGTAAGCAGTACCTTTAAACTGTACTACGAAAATCTTTATTAACCGTGTATACATATATTAAACATACCTTTTTAGGACTATAATTAAGATTAGTAACAAGTTTATGGGATCACCGGGGAGAAGCAACATTGAAAATATGATGGCGGGTTCAGCTCTAAGAAGGCTCATGGCCGAATATAAACGTAAGTAAAAAAGGTTTCAAAAGTCAAAAGTCATTGATTTACATAGGTAACTAGGTGCCCTTATGAACGTCAAATCAGTTAAAAATAAAGAATAAATTTACAATTATTACCAGTTCTCAGATTAAGGTCATTGATAAAAAATGAAGCAGTTATGAAATAGAATAAGTCAGAAATTTGTTATAAAAAACTAATCAACCCATAAAACCATTTCATTATGTCAGTAATGAGGCAGAAACACTTCTGTGTCAGGTTCACTAATTTTCTATAAATATTTATTTATCATGTGATATGGAATCTGTCGCACTGGCATATAATGTTATTATCATGGAGGACAGTTACAAGGTTTCTGCTACTGCCATTATGATATTTTGACAGAACTTACACTTAATCCTCCTGAAGGAATTATAGCTGGTCCAGTGAATGAAGAAAATTTCTTTGAATGGGAAGCTTTAATAACGTAAGTATGATTACTAATCTAGCCTTGTAAACATTTTTATTTGTATTGTACCCTATAAATACAAATTTAAAATAATAAACGTTTTCTTTATTCGCAGGGGACCTGAAGGAACATGCTTCGAAGGAGGTATATTTCCAGCAAAGTTACAATTTCCTCCAGATTACCCGCTGAGCCCACCTAAAATGCAATTTGTTTGTGAAATGTTCCACCCTAATAGTAAGCATTACAATTTTTTTTGCTGTACTATTTCGTATTTTCCAAATATGTACTGCACTGCATGTAATTAAAACCAGATTTAAATCTCTTTAAGTAGGTAATTTGCGTGAGAGGCTATTAATAGGTTGAAATTATTCGATGATGACATGTAGGAATTGGTTAGAGCAACAGCATGGAACGCTGATGAGGCCGGTTGAAGTCCTGCCCGAGTTGTAATTTTTATACAATTTATTATAGATTTTTAATACCTTTAAGTATTTTTCTATTGGGGACACCTATAGAAGACTGGGTGATCAGTTTACACCATCAGCTGACCATTTCACCCAAAATCGCTTTAAATAGCTTAGACAAGTATAGTAAGTAGAGGTGGGAGAATATGAATGGTCAGCTTAATCAATTTATTTTATTGTATATTATTACTAATGTTTGTAATTGATAATAGAGTAAGTAACTGATATGTTTTCACATTTGAATGTTGTGACAAATTAATATTACTGATCGTGATTAATAAATCTGAATAAATCTGTCTGAAATATTCAATGTCGTTGGCGCCCACTGCGTAAGGAGCCCAGTGTCTTTATCGTCAAATTAGTTACTCGATGCGCCGGCATGTATTTTCATTTTAATTTCATGATATCTTTTGAATGGCATGTCCGATTTCAATAATTAAAAAAAGAATCATTAGGTATTGAGACAGTCTTGAATATTAAATTATTTATTTGGATAAAAAATTATAAACGGTATAGATAACACGGTCTGATTTTGATCGGCATTTCTATTAATTTCTTAAATGTAAAAAAAATAGTTATAGCGACGTAACTACAATAGTTAGACATACGCTGTCGCGATGTTTTTTGTAGATATTGATATATTCTATAATATTGTCGAACATTTTTTCGTCCTATCATTAATACTTTTCGCAGCGCATGGGAAGAAAGACATTTAACGGCTAATTTTTACGAAGAATTTCTGTAGATGCCTATAGTAATCAAGTACTAAATATAGCCTTTGTTACTCAGTGATAATGTAGCTTACTAATGAAAAAAGAATTATTAAAATCGGTCCAGTACTTTTTGAGTTTATCCATTACTTACAAAAATACAAATCTTTCCTCTCTATAATATTAGTATAGATTTACATATTTTATTGATTGTTACAGTCTATGCTGATGGCAGAGTTTGTATATCAATCCTCCATGCCCCTGGTGATGATCCCATGGGATATGAAACAAGCGCAGAGAGATGGTCACCTGTGCAAAGTGTTGAAAAAATACTTTTATCGGTTGTCAGCATGTTGGCAGGTAAATTTTATGTTTTATGTATTTTAACATAATCATTAAAAATTAACATGTCCATTTTGATATTATTAGTACAAATTATATATTGCAATCATAATATACTGACTAGAAATTATATTTTCCACTGGCAGACCAAACTCATCTAATCCTGCATGTATTATCCTATCATTAATTAAATATTGTTTTATAGAGCCAAATGATGAAAGTGGTGCCAATGTGGATGCAGCAAAAATGTGGAGGGAGGATCGAGAGCAATTTAATAAAATTGCTGAAAGGCTAGTAAGAAGAACGTTAGACCTTCCGCCCCCTTAACAATGTACTTGTCAATTTGTCTTTCCTAAAACAATGTAAAGTAACATAAAATTTTGAAGTAGTTATTTTGCCAAGTTTTTAATACTGACAGTGTGTCAGAGCAATATAAAATACTGTTAACTTGGAATTAGATGTTGAAAAATTATTTTCACCATAAACAATATCATAGCTGTATATTTTAATACTATCTCTATCTACTACTGTTATATGGAGAGATAAAAATGTTTTATGGAAATTTTTAAACTGTATAATGTTGTTAGTCTACTTAGGGGTAAATGGCTGTAAAACTGATAGAAATAAAAATGTTAGTGACGAAATGTTCGACGACGAGTCGAAACAAATTATTATTTACAGTATATTCTCACTGTTTGAATAATAAAGATTTTAAAATTTTAATGATCATAATTATAACTTTATTGAGGATTACTAATCATAAAATTATTGATAAATGGAAAAATATTGTTTTAGAATTTTAATGTGGTCTTAGCAAGTTGGTTGCTGGTATTTGCTTTTATTGAAATAAATTATTTATTAAAATACTGTGTTTATATTTCTAGGTGATTAACTACTAAAATTTATTATGAAAGGTAGTACTAAACTGATGTAAATTCATCATTCATCATCAATATCATCTATGAATATACATCTTTGTAGAACTAAACTGATCAGATACTTATTCTTTTTTATACTTTATTATTTTTGTTTGATAGCTAGGTGATAAATTAATTATTATATACAATATACTTCAAAAAGAAAGGAACTGGCTTATAAATAAACTTTATAAAAAAAGCAAAAGATCATATGAGCATGAGCCTGTTAGAAGCAGAGTGTCTAATAACAAAAAACATGATATTCAATAAGGAGGAAGATAAAAATGCGCAATTAACTTAGGCGAAAATGAATTTAACTATTAATTTATGTTAACAATTTTTGATAACTGCTCTAATAAATTAACATTTATAGATTATGAAAACAAATAAAAATTGCAGTTAGGCTACTCTGCCTTTAGCGGCCTCATCTATACTACTTATATAAAGTTGAAGAGTTAATTTGTTTGTATGTTTCAACGCGCTAATCTCAGGAACTACTGGTTCGAATTTAAGAATATATTTTTTTGTTGGTTAGAGCAATTATCGAGGAAGGATATAATAAATGCGATGTGACTAATGTAAAATTATTCGATGCGGAAAATGGTTCAAGACACCCAAAAATTATTCAGGAAAAAATTCTCCTTAAAGAATATAAAAATATGTCCGCGGCGCTATAAGTCTATCTTTTAAGATCAACTTGCAGAAACGACGAGACGCGACTGAGGTCGTGAGTAACGTCTCAAATTCATAAAGGTAGGGAAGCAAAAACTAATTTTTATATCCCAAAAAACTAACGCGGACGAAGTCGCTGATACAGCTAGTATTACATATTGAGTAATTGTATGTTACAGATTTTGACAAATAGCCATTTAAGAATAATTTTGTAGTTTTATCTGCATTACTTTGCTTACAATCTGTAAGCATTTCGTTTTGAAATGACAGCTGACAAGACAAAGCTAGACCGTGGCACAGATATCGTTCACTCGGGAAGAAATATATAACCTATGACGAAAGACTTATCTGACAATTGCTTACATTCGCTATGTCATCTATAAATAATACTTTATTAGCTGTTAAATTTAATATACTTCTATAGTTTATTGTAAATGGGTCGCCATTTTAAATTTTGCCGCTCTCTCAAATGTTGACGTGATTTCTGTTATTATTAACATTTATTTTAGTTTTAGTTTCTGTAAAAATGTTAGTAGGTAAATAGCGGTAACTACGATATCACAGTTAGTAGGATAATTAAATGACATATCTTAAGGAGACAGTTATCTTGAAACATCAAAATGATGAATGATGATTCGCTAAATTATTTCGCCTCATCTGCAAAATCAACAGCACCTAGTGGTACGATTGAGCTTTACCAGGTGAGAAACTTAATGTAAGAAGTGAAACAGAAAGCCAAACATAGTCAGACTCCTTTTTATATTGAGTAGAACAGTCACAGTAAAAGATTGATTCTCAGCCATAATTACACGAAAGTTTTAGTTCTTTTACTTGCCTAAATATTAAGGCTTTTTATTTTATTAAAGTTTTATAAGTATCATCGAAGCACAATAATCTGATAGTTTCTAGTTGACATCTTTTGCTCTAATGAAGAATGAGTAGTAGACTATACTAATATTATAAAGCTGAAAAGTTTGTTTTTTGCTTGAAGGCGAGATCGAATTGTTTTTCTTTTGTATTGGTTAGAGCATTTATCGAGGCTTTAGGCTATAAAACATCACCCTGCTATTAATAGGAAATGTGGTCAAAACGGGGTATTCTTTGAGGATTTCTGTTACGTACCCTGCGAAAACCAAGATACCCAAAAATGTGAACAAAGGAATCGTTCCTCTTTAAATTTTCTAAAAAAATACAGCATATTTCTATAATATAAGATTAACTTGCAAGAATGACGGGACCTGAACGACGGGACGCGACTGATGTCGTTGGCAGCTTAAATGTATAATGATGTAGGTTTGCAAAAACAAATTTGGATGCCCAAAACAACTATTCTACTCGGACGGAGTCGCTGGCGCAGCTAGTTATGGTATCTATATAGATATTATTATTGTAATATTAATTACATTGTCCTCTATTCCAGAACTCGCTACCATGGCAAGAGTACCCGTTAGGTTGCTTTGAGTGCCGAACTTGTAAGAAAACGTTTTACAATTCGGTTGCTTTGCAAAATCACAAGAAATTACAACATGCGGATGGCTCGAACAGCGATACGGAACAACACCCCAATCAAGCGCAGCACGATGATGTAAATCTGAATTATCTCATTTATGTTATATTTTGCTATGATCACAATACGTGTTATATAATGATTGTATATGACCGTCCGTTCCACTTATACGTGCCAGACATATTTCTGTGTCGTTGCGTTCTGTTGGACCTACGAGGTCTAAAATAGCAGAATTTCTGTCTATTCATATTTCAAGGTTCAAAAGTTCGCGTATCCATGATATTATACATTTGTCTACAATCTTCATCAGAATTTGTTGATACGCACAGTATTACGACAATCGCTTTTGAATAAAAAAAAAATTCTTCCGAATAGATATTGGAATCATTCAATAATTTCAAATTTATACCTCTGAAGAAGACAGCCAATGATGTGGAAACTGCAGCCACAGAAAACGGGATAACAAAACGTACCTTTGATGTGAACACGAGTTACATTATAGTTAAAGTTGAAGGTGATGATAATCTTACGCGTCGATCGAAAAATGATGGGGTGCTCCGTAGGACGCAGATGAGGTCTTCCAAACCGGCAGTCGACTTAAGGTCCCTTTTGTGTTGTAGTAAATAATTGTTTTTCACTGGATAACTAGTAGATACCTATTGTATTGTATATAATTATTAGTTAAGTAAAAAAGACATATGTATTTTTATATATTATTAGCTGTGCCCGCGACTTCGTTCGCGTGGAATAGTGACTTGGGGTAGACTTTTTAATTATTTAGGCTGTTTATTAATTTATTTATTTGCGCATTTATCGCTGCCAATCTATGTTGGAGTGCTAGTTTGCCGCAACACTCTCACCTCACATCACTCCCATTCCCACTCCCACTCCCACGCCCACTCCTGTTCCCAAAAAGCCAAAGAAGAAAGTTTCATTTTTCTAGCTTCAAAAACCACTAATTTTCATACAAACTATCACCCCCCCTTTTAGCCCCTTACAACCCCCCTTTCGCTATAAAAGCCTATGTTATTTCTCAGGTCTAAACTCTGTGTACCAAATTTCTTCAGTCCGTTCAGTAGTTTTGGCGTGAAAGAGTAACAGACAGACAGACAGAAGGTTACTTTCGAATTTACATAAAATATAAGTAAGGATAAAGGGTCTTCATAAATAGCTTAACCATGATCCACGTGGTACATAAGATAAGACATTGGAATTTACTGAAGCTATGATAATTATTGTATGTTTTTAGTTCTCCGTTAAACTAGCGAGACTATAGAACTAGAAACATACAATAATATAAGCCTGAATAAGTAGTTAAACATCTTTGCTTTATGGGCATTAAGATCTGGTCAACAAAAAAATATGAGCAACAAAACGTATACAAATTTGTTCGCCCCATGCCATGTTTCACTATTTTCGTAATTTAAGAATCCATGAAAATCGTCATTTCAACGATATATCTCTTCAAGGGGCCCATTCACGTGTACGTTGCCGTCCTTGTACAGTCCCGACCTGCAGTGCCACCAAATATTCTTCAACTGTTGCGAATACTCTCTGCATTACCGGGAGAAGCATACGAAGCGTCGGAAGGCCGCAGTGCGCTGCCAAGTTTGCGAGAAACCCCTGGACAAGGAGGTGCCCCCACCGACTCAACCACAATTTACTATTCCGAATAATATTACGTTTCCGTGCCGCTTGTGCGGTCAAGTGTTTTTAGACAGAGTGCGCTACGAGGAGCACAGTCGCACGATGCACACGAAGATGAAACCTTACCAGTGTTCCATTTGCGCCAAGAGGTTCACGCAACGGGGCGGCCTGGAACAGCATATGCGGATGCATTCCGGCATACGTCCATTTGTATGCTCGTTCTGCAATAAGGCGTTCACGCAAAAGGCCGGGCTGGACCAGCACTTGCGCACGCACACCAAGGTGAAGCCGTTCAAGTGCGTCGTATGTGGAAAGTGTTTCTCGCAAACGGTTCACTTGCGCCAGCATATGCGGACTCATACGAACATTCAGCCGTTCGAGTGTCCGGTGTGCGGGAGGCGGTTCAAACAGAGCAGTCATCTTAACTTTCATATGCGATCGCACGGGGGTGAAGCCAACGATTTGACGGTTGAACAATACGCGCAGGCCTTTGGGGAGCAAGATTCGATTGATTTCTTGAAATTCGCCAACGTTCAGCCCGTACAAGAAGACGGTGAGACGATGTATTACGCGGCTGATCTTTCTACAACTTTGCCCGCGTCTTACCAAAAGATGATGTCCACAGACTATGTTTTTCGATGATAAAATAAGTAAATAGCTCCTTAAAGCTGTAATTGCATGGAAATAAGTTTTTTTTTTTTACTTTGTAATTTTAATACTTTGTTATATAAGTAATAATCTGCAACTTTAGGGTGTTTAATTGTTTACTTTAATACAGTAATACCTCGAACCGGGTGAACGCTATCCGTGTAAGTCGAAATCTTTTAACTACATATTGTCTGTAAATTATGCGAGAAATACACATTTAAATAGAACCATGTTACAATTTTATTAACTAATTGTCAACGCCTGAATGGACATTTGTTGTGGATATTATATTATGTAATACAAAAATATGTTAAGTTTATTTTCAAATGTAAATTTCGACATTGCGCATGGAATAAATAGTATTAAAACACACGATGTTTACTTATTTGCCTTGTTCTGCTTTGTGACTTCGATAGATAGAGAGAGAGAGATTGAATTCCAATAAAACATATTTTTACTAAATCCGTTAAAGAACGCCCTATCTGTTTATACTAAATATACGAGTTCACATAATTTAACTATCTAAATATCTTAATAACATGTTAGTTACCAATTTTGTTACCCACATCCCAAACGGATGAGTTCTCGATTCTTTAACATAGATGGCAGCGTTTGCCTCGAAATGACTATTCGTCTGCCCACAGTTTAGATATTTACAGTAGGATTTTTAATATTATTCGTCTTAACATATATTTTCTAAACAAATAATAAATTAAGTATATAGGCCTAAATCATATATACCTCGTTAGAACCTAAGTAACCTAACCTTACTTAGATTCATACCAACTGCAAATCCTAAGGATGTGGCATTCGATTCCCGGTTCGGACAAAATATCCGGCAGTTAGTAGTCCTCAGTATTGTTACCATGAAGAGGAGACCATCGTACAAGTGCATCTTGCAGTAGAGTGACATGGTGGGTATTAGCTCTATAACCCTTTCCCAAAATCGAGAAAAAAGACAAGCCCAGCCGTTGCAGCCTACTATTTTTAATGAAATACGCCGATTAATGATACTTATAAGAAATTAAATCTATTTAATTATAGAAACAATTTTTATACAGAATGTGTGCATCCACATCACTCTATTTAGGTATTGGATACTAGGAATACATAAGCTGATAACAAGTGCAACGAGATGCAGCGATGCAACTGCAATCAATTAAGCGACAAATCGAAGTACGATTGCGCGGCGGGGCATGTTAGCGCATGCGTACTTTTGGGTAACGCTTCCAGAATCTACGGATTGTGAGTTTTTATAACTCCTAAGGATTATATTTTCAACCACCTCTAATTGTCAAGTGAGTTATCTTTTCTTTAGTGTATATAATAGTGACGTAGTAGTTTAATTTTATTCCTTTTTTTAAAACTGCACATTTTGTAAGTACAAAATATTGTAATTTATAATCTGTAGTAAATAAGTAATTTTTATAAGAATAAGTGTAGTGTTATGCCATATTACTGTTGTAATATTATAAAAGGACGAATCGTGTTGTCATAATTCGGTAATATCGCGATCGATAACAGCGACAATGCACGCCGCTGTTTATGTTGGGATATTTTAGAAATGCAATCACGACTAGTCAAAACAACAGAGCGTGTGGCCGAGACGCGGTTACATTTTGGTCTCTTGTATATTTTCTTAGAACCGACTACGATGATGCAGGGAAAACAAAGGGAACGCGCTGATGGCTGTATCCTGGCGTAGCCCCCGCAATTGATTCCCATTTTACTTTTATGTTTGGCCCGGATAGTGCAGAATTTTATTAACTTTTATTATAGTAATTTAAAGTTTAAAATAAATAACTTTCAATTGAATGTAAACTTATTAAATCTGTATCGTTGAGACTTTCTGTTAATATTTAAAAACTAAGCGGTCACGAGGGGTTCCATATCATAAACCTACTTAAGTCTAAATTTGTTAGGGGCACATATTTGCATGTTACAACCTTTTTTAAATGCCATTATTGTGTAAGGCAAAATATCGTATATATTATCTTCTTCGAAATAGGTATTTAATAGAGTTTTTAATAATTATCATGTTGTTATAGCGGAAACAAACACAGGTAACTCTAAAAAATTGTTACACTACATCTATTAAAATACACAGTGCTGACAGTGATTAAATAATTCCATTTTTAATATACTCAACTCGACTGCGAAGCGCCTATAGTAGGTATACTGCCGTTAAGTCTTATATCTAAACAATAATAATTTACACTTTTCGCGTTTTAAACCGTAATTTATTTTTTAAGTTTGTTTTCTTAATTCGCAATCGCTTAAACTGTAGTTTAGACTAAATTTGTTTAAAAGCTTGATGACTATATCAAAAAAGATTCGTTTTCTGTTTAATAATTCTACGTATAAAATTACAACCCATACCTACTTTCAGTTTTTAGACGCGTTGGAATCTTCTAGTAACTTCTGCGGTGGGCAATCCGTCTTGTTAATTTTTCGTTAATAAATTTCGCGTTCTGTTTCTATGTAGTTCACACATTCCAGTTATCGCCTGACGGGTGTGCTGTAAAACATTACCATTTTTTCTCAGCATGCCCACTAAACTTTTTAAACTCGGCCAGAACACATGTGGCCGATCTGGTCGTGATTTACATTTGTTTACATCCGCCAACCAAGGGTTACCCATGCAAGGGTTGAATCCGAAAACAGCTATAAAAAATTCTTAAAATCCCTCCGTAAAAAAAGGTCTTTATCTTTAAATACCATTTAATATGACGTTTCGCGAGTCGGCAATGTTTTTATATGTCAAAATATATGTCGGTATATTGTATCTATAGGAAAATCATGGACCCATCGTCACTAAAATTACAAACATGATAAAAGAAAGATCATCTAATAAATAGATTGAAAATGATCTGTGTCAAAGTACTCTTAACATTTAGTGGGATAAAAAAATATTGACTCTTGATATGCACATACAATTTCATAAAAATCAGCCAAGCTTTTTTGGAGTTAGAAACGAGGCGATGTAAGAACTGTATAGCTAGGTATATTAGGAGATTATAATAATATTCGACGAGATCGTTTGTCTAATGGTATCGATGTGTGCCTATTGAGCAAAGGGTCGTAGGTACGATTCGCACCGGATGCAACATTTCTGAAACATGTCTGGTGATCTAGATATTAAATGAGTGAAAGGAATATCGAATTTCCGTCCGTGCCTCGATCCACAAGCTCACCTTGTTCAGATGTTATATGGCTGGGGATCTACACCTTGCATCCAGTGAACCGCACGTTTGTCTGTCTGTCTTGCTCTGTTCCAAAAAGTTTTGTAATATCTAACGTAAATTGCTTGCAAATATTTTTATATGCCGAGTTTTAAGTCGTGCTTAAAAACAAACATTCTAACTAAATAAGTATGAATTAATTTTGCAGGTTGCGTCAGATCATGGAAGCTAACGCCATACGTCAGGAAGAACCGGTGCCGAGTTACGACGCTCTGCCCATGGAACTAAAGCAGTTCATCCGAAGACAAGCATACGAGTTCTCCTTTTTGGCCAATAATCGAATCTACGACGAGCAAGAGATGCGGCTTGCTTGGGCGCCTAACGTCTATGTGCCGATGAGGGAGAACAACGTGGAACATCGCAGAGTAGTGGGAAGGTCGTGTGGCGAGAAGTAATTTTCGAACGACAGGTACAATATTTTAATGGTGACTGATTTTTTAAATTTTGTCAATGTTAATTTACATATAGTAAGAAAAATGTCCAGAGCGTGTACGAAACGTGACATTTCAGTTAGATTTGCAAAAATATATTGACAAAAATGGTCAAGGTACCATTTTTAGGTAGGTGTAATAACTGTGATTATATGGGTAGAAATCACAGCACTCAAAAGGGCGAATATTTTGTTTATTTATTATTGCAATTTATTTTAACTAGCATCTAATACCTATACCTATAATTTTGCGTTTCGAGCGATCAATTAAACTAAAACATTTTGAATGTTTAAATATACCGCGTAATATACAAATTAACTTACTTCCCATGACGAGCCCCCCAAAGCAATTGTAATAAGTTAACTATTTTCGTGTTTTACACCCTTCAAGGTGTATGTTTACATATTGTATTGTATCGTTACTGCTCGTTATCTAGTAGAATCAAGATATGGGTCCGTCTACAAGTAGCACAATGTGTGGGATTGACACAGTATATGTATCGTATCGGCATTAACATTATATTTTTCTTTTAAAGTTCTTTATCATTCTAAACAGTACATGATAATGGTTTTACCTTGACCATTTTAGTACTAAAATTGTTATGAAAGTGAAAGAAACTAATTGTATTTAAAGTCGTTATTATTAGTTTTGAGTCGCGCTCGTGTCGTACATTTTTTTTCAATCTAGATAGATGTCTAATTTATGTAACTCTAACAGCTACGAGTAAACTAATAATATAGCATTCAGCCCGTTATCAATGCGTAATTCTTGAGTAAATAGATTTATAATACTGCGTACTTTTGCGAATGATTTTTTGATGTTTGATGGCGCGTGTTTCTTTTTCAGTCGTGGCCTACTTCGGAGGACTTCTTCAGTTACATCTCCGAATGTTGCTATTGTACTCATTAATACACTTTATTCAAAATGTATCTCTTATTGTAGTGGCGTATAACACGGTATTGGGGGGGTCAGGGGCCATTTTAGATACCTAATATGAGTTGTTAAAAAGCATCACTTGTCTGATAAAAATAAAATCAAAAACAAATTGTTCATTCAATCCCCCCTCCCCCCTCAAACCTAAAAATGTGTCAAGCCACGGTCTTGCTGTACTCGAATTAAAGTGTGTATCTATGCCTCTGCGAATTTATTATTTAGTTGAACCCCTTTCAGTTTCAGTAACAATATTGTTATAAACTGAGCGATTACTTTCAGTTATATAATTATTCAAAGACATATACCAACAATGTAAATGTGCAGGTGGTTTTTATACATCTGAAAGATGGCAGATGTAACTTTGCAATATAACGATGTTGCCATGTGTGACTTGTAAAATTTACCTAAAACAGAAGGAAAAGGTCAGTATGTAATAGAGATTCTTAGTCTTTTCATAAGTGCTTTAATTCCGTAGTTCTTTATGCTAAAAGAGAACGGGAGATCCAACGTGTACAAAACACATTTGCTAGATTCTTCTATAGTAGGTATACATGAGCTAGTACATATTGCATTCTTCTTAACAATTATAAGATTCTAAAAATTTAAGGAAAGACGGCATTTAACCTCGTGAAATGCCCTCACCAAAGCCACCACAAAACCCACTCACCAAAACCTCTTACCAACCAACACTCATCTTAAATATTCTGAGACATAGGATTTCTAGTTTCCAAGGAGAATTCAAATATGCCGCCTCCAAAATATAAAAATCCCTCCACTGCAGACTCCGTTAAGGAATATATCAATTCCAGTCTCGCCATTCATTCATGCCATTTCTTATCTATTTTTTTCATGTTAGACGTAGGCCATATAACATCTAAACAAGATGCTCTGTCGAACAAAACGACGAAAATCCACTTATTGAAACCGAATCGTGATTAAACTTCACGTCTTTTTCATCTGTGGACGGGGGTTCGTAACACTGCCATAATTTAGATATTCCTATCATTAGCTTAGTATCCAGATTTCCAGACCAAGTCCAACACGTTTCAAAAAAATGCTAATTGATGAGAAACAATTTGGGACTGGTGGGGATCGAATGCACGACCCGTTGATTTTTAGCCATACATTACTACCATTAGAATAACAAGCCCGTCGACATGTCGCACGCCTAGTATTACAGTGACCGAATTAACAAAAAAAACACTTTTTTTGGAAAATCGTATAAAACTATGATGATGGCGTTATTATAGTAATGTCAGTGCATTTATCTAATTTTACTTAAATTTTGAGTTAGGTCACTATAATACTAAGCGTAAAATATTCCTAAATTATGATAAATTGAACTACTTATTGCTACAATTGAATATAGTTTGAAGTTGGAAAATAGCAAAGAAAAGTTTGAATTTAATGTTTATATCATCGCTCGGTTAGTCATTGGAGCATTGTTTCTACTTTGAAATACAATAAAATTATACCATTTATACCTACCTATACACAATTATTTTTTATAGGTATAGAGCTATATAGGTCTATGATACATAGATATACACTGCCGTAGACTGCATGCTTGATTGAGATAAGGAAGGCGAAACAGATTATACAAGAAATATTAAATACATATGTCAATTGTAGCCACTCTGTTAAGTAAGCATATTCTTTTGTTTATGTATTTAATGCACGTAGTTTCATATAGACTATTTATATATTCACTCATGTATTTACCTTCACTTTTTTTGATAATAATAATGAGACTAAATTACATCAGACTCCTTGCTAGTACAACAGGCAAATTGGTGGGACCAGAAAGACTGGCAAATCAATAATTAATCCCGTTACCCTGCGAAGGGCATGGGGCAAACACATTTCTATGTCCGTTTTTCTGGTTAGTTAATCGTTTCCTTGGGATTCCAACCCGGCAGCACGTTTAAGCATTTCGCTACAGAGGCGGTCATTTAATAATAATTGTGTAATTAAATGTCATATCGTCAAGCATGAGAGATCAAATAATATTTTCTTTCGGGCAAGAAGAAGGCGATAACTAAAACAGACACAAAACTGTAGTTACTTGGTGACCCACTTAGGGAAAACATATAAATTAATGTGTGACATATCTTGTTTTTTCCGATTTTAAATATACCTAATCTAGTGAGGTAAATACTGTCTGTAGTTTACGCGAGTAGTACACTAAAATAAAACACTTTAACGGTTTATAAAGCTATATATATTAGCAAAAATTGTTTGATAACTATTTTAACTACGGCCCGACATTTCGGATGCTTTGCAGTAGCTATGGTCACGGGGAAACTGGCCATAGTTATAATAATTTTCAAATAAGTTTAACTAATATATTTCGCGTTCAAAACCGTTAAAGTGTTTTATTTTAAATCTAGTAAGCTGTGAATTGCGAATGTATAATACGTAATTATCATTCTTATCTCAAACGTTCTTCTTGTGCGGTACTTAGAAGTCTTGCCGTTCAAATTACTCAGTTTAACCTTTCAAGTCTGCCGTCCGACTGTGTTGTTTACATTCGGCTCTCTAGTAATGGATGCCTACAAGTATAGCTGTGAACAGGAAGACATTACACACACTAACACACTATCGTTATCGTATATCACACTTATACACCCTTTCAGATTTACCTGACGCCTGACGGTTTTGACGTTTTGGTTAGATGTGACCAGACGAATAATGAAATAAAATAATTGACGGGCTCTTTGTAATGGTAGCTTTGTAAATATGGTGGCTAATAATCAACAGATCTTGGCTTCGATTCCCATCATATCAAACGCGTTGGATTTCGTTGGGGTATTGATATTAAATGGGTGGTAGGAATATCGAAATTGCGGCTCATTCACGAACCACGGTCCACAAGAGAATACCGACCGACCGACCGAAATAATCTCTCGTCTCTCCGAAATTCGAACCCGGATCTCTCGCGCTTAACGCAATGCTAGGCCCCACGTTCAAGCATTTATCTACAGAGGCGGTCGGAGTTAAGTATTAGGCTATATATAAATTATTATGCCTTAATATTTTTTATGAGTCAGATCATTTCCATATTAAAAAGAAGCCGGCCTTGACATCTATAACTATGAAATGAAATAAACAAAAATATACTTTATGCTCTTTAAAATTTAAAAAATTATATATAATCGCCAATTTTTTTTTCTGTCTGTCTGTTCATCGTGTTTCTACAGAGTGTTCAAAAGAGCCACATAACTGAGAAGAACACCCAAGAAACTCAGTCCGGCTTTTTTAAATATGTCTTATAAACTAATACATTTTTGTAAATTTATTAACAGGAGCAATTCATATTACTGCCAGGCGGTCTTGTCATTAAAGAAATCGTTCAGACAATAATACGCCTTTTGAAAATATAGTAGGTTTTCAAAAGGGGTATTTGACTTATATGGAGTATTTCAAAGCCCTAGACTGGAAGGAGGGAGGTGTGTGGGGTGTTAAATCATACATTTATTTATTGCTACTCACATATAAAGACGCTAACCTCTCATATTTGCGTTATCTGTGCGCGCTTCCGAGAACACAAGTGAATGATGAAATCGTCAGATTAGATCTGTTTCATATTAAAACATTTGCTCACAAAGCGATGTTCATGAGAAGCTGCGTCGCGAATGCCTCCTGACTTGCTGTTGCCGACGGACACGCTGCACATGGCTGCTTCGTCATAAAACGAAATTTACGGTCTCGCCTGCATGCGTCCGCGTTGCCTTAGCTTCGGATCAAACACGGCTCGCTTTCAACACCTGATAATGTTCATGTTGATGACTTTTAGATAGCACGAAGAATGGGTATTAAAGGTACTTTTGTCGAATGTAGATCAGTAACGTCGCTTAAAAGGACAGTTTACTTACACAATAAATAAAACACTTATAGGTTATACACGATGTAATATTAATTCGGTTATATATCGGTTTCAGCGCTTAGTTAGTTAAAGACCAACGTCCTTAAAATTTACTATGGGAAATTCGCCTGAGTCACAAACAACGAACTACAGAAGCAAATCTATTGAAGTTTAATCGTGGTTCGATCTGCGGACTTCTATTTATTTTAAAATTATTGTTACTAAAATATGTCGCGTTTTAAACCGTTAAAGTGGTTTATTTTTTTAGTGTACTAAGACAGTATTTATCATTAGTATTTATTCATCCATGGCTATCATAGAGCATCTTGTGTAGTGTACTCCGTGTATGTCTGTCCTCCTGTTACATAAAAAATGCTTTTATGCTAGAAATATATTATAGATTTGTTTATTTTTAAAAGTTTAATAATCGCTTATTTTTATTTATTTAAAGTATTTAATAAATAAATTATTCAATTTTTATGTAATGAATAAACTTAATTATAAATATAGGTATCAAATTGACATGTAAGCTTGCATTTGACTGGCTGACTGAATTTATAAGTACTATCTATACTTTTTACGGGTTTAAAAGTTGATGATCCGGATAAAATTTTAATAAACCTTCCAATCCCGAGACAAAAATTAAAATAAGTTGAACAATAGAAACATACATAGCTTTAATGAAACTTTTATACAATGTAGTCCGAAGTTTAAATCTAGGTACCAGGCTATCAGAAACATGTAGGTTTAAGTCTAGACCTATATAGTTCACGCATGCGTTATGCACCTGACACCTAGTAATTTTGTTACCTATATTACCTACTTACTGTCGCATTGTAGATATTTTGAATTTCGAATGCCAATTATAGGTGTGTTACAGTTTTAAATATCTCTACTCTACCTACTGTAACAAAACATTTTTCCTCCGATAAGTACTTTAGGTAAGCTAAGTAACTAAGTAGTTGACAATTAAAAATGTCGTTTCTAAAAGAACTAAAAGAAATTCAATTTATAATAGTATATATATTAAATAGTTAATATTACTTACGTAAGTGACTATGTAGTTGAGTTTGTAATAAAACTCTTACCCCTCTTTGCTTTTTGTGCAAATAAATTTGAATAAATCACTTCGTTTACGCACATAACGGAAACCCTCAAAGATGAATTACTTTTCACCGTTTTTATCACATTTTGCGATGTTTCTTCCCTCATATTGGTCGCAGCCTGATCTTTTAGAGCCAAAAGCGTTCTTCGATAAATGCTTCAACAAACAAAAAAAAAGTAGTTCCTGGGAATATATCGTTCTAACTATTCAGTTATTTATTATTAGTATAGTGTAATAATAGAAGCGCACTACCTTCTCGTGCAAATTACAGACTATACTTAATGCAAGTAAACATTCAAACTATACCCGTAGCTTTTTTAGGCTTGACCTTTTTTAAACGGCTTAAAATTTACAGGGATTTTAAATAATTTAATAATGACTCGTATGTAGCGAATCAATTTGCAGAAACCTATAAAGTGTAATTGCATACGAGAAATTAAGGTGAAACAGTAAAACCTCAAAGAAAACATTCTTCGATCGTAAATAGTGATGAATGGAGGGTTCAAGATCAGGCAACGACTGCACGTACCCGAAGTGCGCCATTTTGTGGGTGGAGCTAACACCAGCGACGTGACGTCATATCGATCTCTACCTCTTTCACTCTTGATAAACTGTAATCTGCGGAAGTGAGAAGGTGAAACATATACTTTGAATTTTCCTTCATGTGGATGGAAGCTAAGTTCAAAAATATCGGAAACTCTATACAATGCAAACCTATTAAAAAGCGATATCGTTTGAAATCAAAGCACCTACTAGGTTTTTAATTACGATAATTAAAATACCAAATGTTTCCATGTTTTCTGCAAATTAAGAAAAGATAAGCAAATTTTTTATATTATTATTGCATAATTTCCATTTCATTGTCACACAGTTGCTATGGTAACGCAAAACTTCCTTTACAAATTATGGAAGGCAAAATATAATAATACTTATACTACTAAATACAATATATTTGTATAATACTAGAGTGACCAGTGCCCAGTATGACCGAAAATATTTATTAATACCGTAGATTTAAATGCTTTACCTATCTATCTATTCAGAATTCGAAACGAAAATACCTAATTCTTTGTTCTCAGTTCTGAGGAATTATTGGAATAATTTCAAGAAGCTAATAATATTTATTGTTTGTAATAATGCTTTGCTTTATTAGTTACATAACTTGTTTCCATATTACAAGTAGTTTTAGCTTTTAAAATCAATTTTAACGGTTTAAACCCGTAGAATTAACTAATAATTATAATTATTCCCCGTGACCAAGATTGCAAAGCATTTTTCATCTTTTAGGTACAGTGTATTATTATTTATAATAAATTACTGACAATAATTAATAAGCCTATTGTTAATAATTATGTGAATCTCGTGGAAACAAATTATTGAAACCGCCATCGCGAACACCATCTTTTTTATTTATGTTTGTATTACGATGCCGCTTCATGACAATAACATACATACTTTTTAAACATAGTTGAACCGTTCTCGACGACTTCCTCTATGCTTTCATTGTAAATCCTCACCTCCGGGACTTGAAATTAAATTCTCTTCACTTGATATAGAGTACAATTCGGCCTGGCAAACATATTTACTCTATCGCTAGTAAATAAACCCGGCTAGTTTAATGCAAATCTTTTGGTTTACGCTTTATGGTAAATATTTGGTGTTCCATGCACGTCGTATAGCTGTTTTATAGATCTAGTAAAATGTTTGGTTTAATTGTGCTAGGTCAAGAGCGGGCGTTCGACGTCCTTGACGGCTAAACGGATAAATATTATTGTCTAAGCGGGCTTTCCGCTGTTTGGTGTTTGTGTTTCTGGATGATATGGCTACGAGAGTCCGGTGTAATGACCTGTATTGTGTCTTTTTATGTCTATAGAAGCAGGAGTTCACTTGATGGAAGGTGAAATCCATCCAAGGCTCCATCCATATCTAAGTATGCGCTGACGATCTGTTTTGGACGTCGTAGTCTTGTTACGAATCGATTATCAATTTTCCTCCCACCCATTAAACGTCTAGATTTTCCAGGCGCTTAAAGTAGTAAGTGTAAGAGTTTGTTTGAACGCGATAATCTTAGGAAGTACTGATTCGAATTGAAAAATTATTTTTCTGTTGGTTACAGTATTCCTAAGGCTTCAGGCTATATTATTTAACATATTGCTGCGGCCAATAGGAGCGAAGAAACAGTGAGAAGCGGAATTATAAAATGATTTAGAAACGTATTGGTATTAAGTTGGAATTGAACCCACGAACTACTTGCGATTTGTATTGCTACTATTGGGACAAAACAGCTCGTGAGTCTCCGGCAATTATTACTGGTTTACTTACTTTGTTATTAAATCTTATCGTCTAACATAGGTGGGATTGAATTCCCGAACGAATATTGGATCTTGACAAATGTAAGTATCTATTTTGTGGTAGAATGTATATTTATAGGATTATAACCATATTAAATGTTCTCGTAACAAACTAAGTACCTTCGCTAACAGTCAGAATTACTTTAACTAAACCACTTTAAACGGATTAATGCGAATTAGTTTAATTATTTACAACTATTTCGCGTTTTAAACTGTTAGAAGTGTTTTATTTAAATGCGTACTTCACGCGTAAACTACAGACTATACATAATTACTTTACTTAAAATGCTTATAGATATAATGTTGTCTTATCTAAAATTATATGATTACAGTTATGTTAATTGATACAACAAGCATTTGAAACAGTTGTATAGCTAGAAATCTGAAAATGTAGCAGTGAAATGACGTGGGAGTGATAGACACACATAGGGCGTACGGGGCGCGGCCTAAGGCGGCGCGGGCGCAACACACATGGTGGGCGGCGCACTGTTTCCTCGCTCGCGGACCAACGCGCACGTATGAAGACCGAGGAGCAAACCACCGAAGATGCGGCCCGACGGGCGCCGGCCACACGGCGACAGGAAAAACCACCCTTCTCCTACATTGCCCTCATCGTGATGGCCATACGCCACTCGCCAAACAAACGACTCACCCTCAGCGAGATCTATGCCTTCCTCCAACAGCAGTTCCCGTTCTTTCGCAGCTCCTACCAAGGTTGGAAGAACTCTGTCCGACACAACCTGAGTTTGAACGAGTGTTTTATCAAAATACCGAAAGGTTTGGGGAGGCCGGGGAAAGGTCATTATTGGACAATACACCCGTCATCGGAGTTCATGTTTGAGGAGGGCTCGCTGCGTCGTCGCCCGCGGGGCTTTCGTCGCAAATGTCAAGCGTTGAAGCCCCAGTACGGGGGTGGTGAATACTTGTGTGGTGGTGGCGTGGCCGCGTTGCCACCGTCGCAGCCATCATACGACCTTGGGGGCGGGAGTGCTAGTGCAAACGCGACGGGAGCAATTGATTATGGAGCGTGTGCGTACTCACATGCGGGGAGCAGCCAGCAGCTGACTTATGGAGGCGAGTACTGCTCCTATGGGGGCATGGGGGATAGGGAATGGCCGTTGGCGTACAGCGCGGTGGAGCCCGGCTACCGACCTTCGCCAGCTACGCCGCCGTCGCGCCATGACCTACCCGATCTGATACCGAACTATCAGTATGCAGTAGCCAACGATCATGGTGAGTTTTTTTTAATACTTACTTACTACAAAGACACAGAACATTATTATTTGTATTTAGAACTATAGAGTTTATTTTGAAATATATCAAGAAGCAAATATTACAATTAAGATGTAATAGATTGTCCTACCATTATATAAAAATACGACAGAATAAGGTAAGTGTATATACGAGTAGACTTACATTGATTTATTTTTTTTCAAACCAATCTCAATATGTTGGAAAAAATAAATCATGAAGTCTACTCGTATATACAATCTCAATACATGAAACCCAATTCAGCGCTGAATTTAAAAGCAAATAAAAATAAATCTTAGAAAAAAAATTATACAAATGATGACATAACCTTTAACTATTGCTCACTCCTGCATCCCTGTCAAGGCTTCATATATTTTTGTTCAATAAATAAATAAATGTACCTATTATGAAAAATGTCACATTACATACAACAACATTTCTTCTGCCTTTGCTAGAGAATACATTTACCCTCTATAATTTTTGGTCGTGGTTGTCGTTTTTTAGATATTTATACTTAAAATGCAAGTGGCATTGTAGTAATTGAAAGTTTGTGTGAAAGTTTTAACTGTTATATGTTATAACTAGCATTGCCCGCGTAGCACTCTACGAAGTCGTGTTATTTTTGGCATCATATTATTTATTTTACCTCCACAGCCTCCGTTATAAAATATAGCTCTTACCCACGATTCCGCACAAAAATAATTCAATTGAAATCAGTAATTCCTGAGACTAGCGCGTTTAAACAGACAAACAAACTCGTCAGCTTTATAATATATAGATTATGTAATGTAATCTTTTTAGTGCAATTTCTAAAAAAAATCTAATTTAAATCTACTAAACTATTCTTAATTTAGTTTCTACTAAGCCACATACATATTATGTATGTGCCCTATACAAAGATAATGGTCCCGCGGTCGTATCTGCTTACAATATATCGCAGTACAGTCTAGTCATACTCGCACAAGAAAAACTAGTACAGACTTATTTAATTTATTTTGTTTTTATATATTTGTTGCAACGGCGACAGACATTTTTTGCATTGTGAAATTACCAATTGACAGTATTTGACAATTGACAGCTATTGATGTACCTACATTAGACAAAGGCTATAGCGATAGGCAGCGAGATATTAGTGGTAACGTTTAATTTTAACATGCTACTTAAACGTCGAGATGTAGGTAAAATAAATGAACTAATATATTCGCGTTTCAAACTGTTAGAAGTGTTTTATTAGAATGTGTAACTAATGTCGTAAACTTCACACATTATCACAGTTATCTCAATTCAATTGAGAAGCTTTTACATACGGTTATGTATAGGTATCATTTATTAGTGATAGAGTCCCTTAAAAAATGCCCTAAGTTTTTCGACGTATATAAATCCGCGTAAATTAGTTATTTTGGGCATCCAAATTTGTTTTTGCAAACTTCTATATCTTTATAAATGCCCACGACATTCGTACCCCGTCGTACGCGTGCCGTCGTTCGGGTCGTTCTTGCAAGTTAATCTTAAAACGCATCTGAAATCCACAGAGATGAAAAACTACCCCCGATTTGTTCACATTTTCCGCTATATCTTCGTTTCTATTAGCCACAGCGCGATGTTTTGTAGCCTTCCTTAATAAATGTTCTAACTAACACAAAAATAATGTTTCAATTCGACTCCGTAGTTGAGATTAGCGTTCAAACAAACAAGCAAACTCTTCAGCTTTATATATTAAGTATAGATATATAATTGAATTAAGTTCCCCCCTGTAGCGCCACACTGTTAGTTGTGTACGTCATACGTACTTATTTTCCCAAACTTAAAACAATAGTGGAACGCGCAACTATAAATCTTTCAAGAACACTTGAAAAGCTTTGCGATCCTGCTCCGCGTCATCATCTCGAGTGGTTCAAACATGACTTATTGCTCGATGAGTAACAGTCGCTACCATAGATAATAAGATAAATACCATCTTCAAAACGACGTCGTCACTATACTTTAAAAGGCCGATAGATTTGCTACTGTTTTTTTTAAGCGAAAGTCGCTTTGGTTTTTGTAGGTATAGTAAATATATATATTATACTAACATTTCATACATGTATCAGACAGATATATGTGGACTTTTTTATAGATTGTATTTAGGGACAAGTAGGTTTGTATGATATAGGATGACAGACAAGCTTAGGGCTCACTTGATGATTGGTCAAACACCACAGCAATATAACGTCTAAACACTAAACGTTGTCGGCACATTTTGGTTTTGGATGTTCGGAAATCCACAGACTGAAACGCGATTAAACTTTGATTAAAACTGTGGACGGGGGTTCGAGGAATGTCCCTATTGAGAGAATTTCGATATTCCTGTTTATTGTTTTCAGATTAGAAAAATTATAAAGTGAATGTTGTGTAGTGTAGCAATATTTTTCGGTTTTAGAGTTTATTTTAAATCTGTGACGTGTTTCGTGATGAACAGTCTGTAGGGATTCGTTTTGACTCTAGGGCCCCATGCCCCAAACACTCTTTTCACTTTTATTCTGCTTGCATCACTGAGGATTTTAATCTCGGTCACAATGTGGCAACGTCAGTTCTGCAAATATAGGTATTCTGCTGAAAATATTTACTAGGATGACATAAATGTTAGCATATTTATCGTTTTCATTTGCATCATAAGAGACTGCTAGAGGCAGAGTGGCTTTAGTAATAATAAAAAACATGATTCAATAAGGAGGAAAATAAAAATGCTTAATTGCGCATTTTTATTTTACGCGAAAATTAATCATGTAAGAATTATGTTAACAAATTTCGGTCACTGTGCTCTTTGTAGATTAAAATTTTCAGACCATGAAATTATAAATAATTCAAGTCATAAAATTGCGCCAACGCTACTCTGCCTCTAGCGGCTTTATATTATTTTTCTGTTTAAAGATTCCACTATAATAATAGTGGTAGTTTATCAAAATATAATATATATTAGATAATAAGTAAAAAAAATAAATAAACATGGTCTAGTTTCTAGAATATACGTGACAAAAGATAAACTACCTCGTGTGACTTGGCACATTGTAAACTCGCGCGAAGCCTGTAAATTCGGATCCCGGGAAAATCGCATTTTTTTTAGTTAAAGCAAGCACATCTCTGTAAAGAAATCAATTTGGTGAAACGGACACATTTTAAAATACAAACTTACTTCTTTGCTGCCTCACTGAGGACTCATCCCGGCCGCATTATATGTGCAACGCCGCTACTGTAAATATAGGTATTCAGCTGAAAATGTTTACTAGGATCACATAGATGATAGGATATAGAAATATCCTACGTATACGTCATAATGATTACGTAATAACTATCTACGCCATGACAGTTCAACTAAAAATTATTCACTTTTTCATTTTTTACGTACCATTCAGCGTGATTCCGTTTTCCGAAATTAGTTTCGAACCAAAATATATGTGTGAAAGAATGATTCCTATTCAAACGATCTAAAAAAAGTCCGTGACAGTAGGTATATTACTATCTTTTGAGAACTCGCAAGAACGACGGGACGCGGTCGTCGTGGGTAACAGCCAGGATTTATAACTGCTAGAATAATTAGGAAGAACGATATAAATACGTTAGGACGAATTAATTAAATATTTTTTTACGGCGCGAGAGGCTTACCGCTGGTAAAACTAGAGATTGATGGTGATTGTGATTATAAGCCGGTTCAAGTCTCGCCCGTGTCATCGATTTTTTCAGTCCAGATTTTCAATTCATTAATTTATTAGTGAAATTTAGCTAAATTGGCTCTGCCCGTCTGTTGTATGATGATTCCTTTAGATATGCGATTACAGTGTATAAATATCGATGTTGTTACTAGGATAATATGAAACAGGTATGGAGCGGAGCCCTTCCATGAAACTCTGCGTCCAGTGTTAGATGGGGGCATAGGGGTGCCCTAGTATAAGGAACACATAAATTTATAGAAGCACTTTGCAATAGTCAATGTAGTGTGTGTCCTCCCCGGCTTGCCCCATACCCCGTTCCATTACCATGCCCCATACCACAACGTGGGGGTATGGCTCGGGCGGATATCCGTCTCGTTTTTACTGATTGATTTCATCTTTTCTGCCTCATCGTGCTGCGTAAGCCCTGTAATCTAAAATTTGCTAACTAATGAGTCAGAAAAAAATCCACGTCACCATTATGCCCTTTCACATGCATCTCAGTACACAACGTATTTTTTTATTTATATAAAATATAAACACGTATTATCTAAAATTTAAAGGAATATGTTTACTTGTGTCATAGAAAACAAATATCCGTAGTCTGTGGATGAAACACAATATATTATGTATGGGGTATATCTGTAGGAAAAAGTGCAGTCTTAAAAATAAATTTTCAAATAAATTTTCTAACAAAATTCATAAGTAACTTGCACTCTTTCTCTCTACTGTATAGAGAGAAGAAGTGCAATAGATAAATTACCTATTTTGTGTTATTCATATATACATTTTAAAGTGGTGTAAAATCGTGTAACGAGTATGCGAATGCAGCGTGACATCATTTTCCAACTCTTCATTTACCTATCTTCCTGGCAGAAGGATACCTACTAACAGTTAGTACTTTATAATATATCCGCACTAGGTTCATATAAAAAGCTTTATAGTAAAATTTACTACCCTTAATTTATTCGTTCCTAGTACTTAGTGGCCTTTTGACATTTAGCAGTAGAAACATTGTGAACATTATAGGCGCTGCTCTATATTACTGCCTTTACTATATAGCTCCCTAGTAGTTGACGAACATTCACTACAATTTATGTTCCCTTACAGGATCATATGACAAACTTTTTTAGAGTAAGTAGTTTTAACAGTAGGATTTCCTTTTCGACACTAATATATAAATCTTTCATATATTTACTTCTTCCAAATGAATATTAACAGATATATTCATTGCAGGTAATTTTTGGATAGTTTAAATAAGCAATCATTCTTCTGTATTTTTATCTCTTGAACCGT